TGCTAATGAACTTGCATTCACATCATAATTATCAAAGCTTACGTACTACGGCAGTTTAATTAACGTCCGAGACTCATCCTTTCTTGCTACTCGTAAATTTTATCAATGAAATTTCGGATTTTTGTTTCATGGTTTTTCCTCGGCATGCTGAAAAAAAAAGTCAAACAAGTTTGTGTGTTTTATAATTATATAGGTTCGAAGCCAGTAATTGGCTTTCCTTGATGTTAACTTTGATCAAGATTGCCAAATATTAGTATTTGTGCATTTCCTTTCCTCAGAAGAGACTTCACTTGGGACTGTCATAAGATTAAATTAAATTTGACTAAATGTTTTGTATCAGCTAATTTTTTCTCAATTGAAAGGTAATTAGTTTATCCTAACTATTATGTGTGTTTCAAAGTAGCTGTTTCAAGGTACCCATATTTACATGCACTGAATATCATGTAGGTCCAGTGGAAGGTACAAGACAGGCTAAAAGAGTCGTGACTCCTGTTTCCAAGAATCACTATGATCGTAATGGAAATCTTGACTCAACTGCTCCATCAAAAAGTGAACGCTTGAATTCCCCAAACACAGCAAGCTGGGAACCTGATGTGCGTATGCTCCTTTCAACATCACAGTGGCTCAAGGTATCTGTTCTATTACCACTAATTACGATTATAGATTATACAAAATAACTAAGATCAGCGTAATCATGTGAAGTTGCTCTAGCTATGATGGAATCTGCTATAGACAGTTGAACATAAGATCATTTTTTCCTTCAGATTCATGGCCTCAAAAGACACAAACTTGACATGGGACAAATATTGCCTTCCATTGGATTTAGGCATTCAGATGGTATTACATGAATTTCTTTATTTAAAACTTCCTTTCATAATTTTAAGTCAATAGGTAACCTGATGGCTTGGGTACTATGGGCTCCATTTTAAGAGAGCCAAATTTGATCACTGTTTGGGCCATTGAGTAACAATCTAAGGCATCATACAGTGTATATTTCTACCACAGTGCTTCTTTCGACCCAGGAATATAAGTGGGTGACAGAAAAATGTAATGGAAGCTTAATGAAACTCTGGGAAGAGGTAAATTACAATTGTTTACTAGCTCATTCAGAGGGAGTGGCAGTCCTCATGCTGGGTTTTCATGTTGACGAAACACAAGCAAAGAAATTGTCCTTGCTGTTGGACTGCAATTTAAGTAAAAAATTCACAGGCTACATAGAAATTCAAACCTGTGCCTTCCAAATACTAGTTGGATGTCACTACCAATGGAGCTACACTGTATGAAGCCAAAAGTTTGGAGCATGTCAATTTTTAGAGGGTTCTTGCCATTTTGCATAGGGTGGGTGTTTATTAGCTAAAAATACAGCTTGATTCTAAACCACATGGCTTACATAAATGTTCTACTGATTGAGTAATATAAAATTTTAGTCTGAAATTGTTGTTTTTTGTACAGATTATGTGAGGCCTCTTAAAAAACCAGTCCGTGCAAGATATTGTAAGGGGCTGTTTACTCAGGTTCCCTTTAGAGATGGCTCAGTGTACAATGTAAGTATCTTCTCAATCTACCTCAAGGCATTTGACACTGCTGAAGATGCATATTCTCCATACTGTTCTCTATAAATTTCATAAGGTGGCAATAGGGATAATTTGTTTAACAATCAAGAGCTTCTTTAGTTGGAGATCATTTCCTTCATTCTTGTGACATTTATGTTTGATTAAGCCTTTACACCCTAACATCAGCATACATATTCTGCATACTGTTCTCTATACATTTCCTAAGGTGCTGAAAAGGAGAACTTGTTTAGAAATGAAGAGCTTCTTCAGTTGGTGATCATTTCCTTTATTCTCATGACCTTAATGTTGTATTCAAGGACAATATTGTAAGGAGAAAGTAGATGCTAGTCAACTCCTAGGAGTTAAAGGGTTAAGGGGTGATATTGAAAAGAGAAATTAGTTGGTATTTGTAGACACTCTTGAGCTTAAAGGCTTATTATAATGGACTGAAGTACATGTATGTTTAACTCTTTCCTCTGAAAGTTCTCTGCAACTTAATTGGCAGAGCTGTAGTTTAAATAATTGGCCTTGGGATCCCTGCTTTGTTTATAAATCCTTGGAGAACTTTTCAACTAATGAATGTTTTTGGGGATTTCAAAAATGGAAAAATTTACGTCTTTGACAGCTTGTTGCCAGCAAGGAGAAACTGTGCATGATAGAGAGTCAACTTAAGCAAGCTATATCACTTTACAAGCGAAGACTTGAGTGGTTAACAACTGAGAGGTAAATGTACATTTAAGCAATGAATTAAACAATGGCTAAATATTTTAAAATCTTAAGATGTTACCATTACTTTATGTACCTAAAACTTAATAACTAATAATTATATTTAACTTAAGTTTACTTCTTAGTTTTTGGGTCTTCTAAGGTTGTATGCATATTTCAAATACAGATCAGTTGCAAAGTTAACATAAAACAATAACTGACTGTTTCAATAAGAAATTAAATTATGAGATCTTTTGCTTTACAGTCGGAGGGTGTTTGGAGTTATAGAAGAGCGTTGCATCTGCATTGTGTTGGACGTGAATACTACAAGTGAATCTGAATTCAGTACTTACCTTCATGGCCTAGTACAATTGCTAAAAGAACAGGTCATGTTTATCGCAAAGTTTAACCTTATCAGGTAACTATGCTCATTTGAAAATAGAATTGAAAAACATTTACACAGACTTTCATACTGTGCTTGCCAATGTTAAGATGAGTGAAGGCAAAAGAGTTCAGCCATGTCTCTTTTCTTCAACTTTAGGTGTGCAATGGATTCGGATTGCTGGCAAGAGCATGCTGTAAATGTTACTCTTGACAGCATGGAAGGAGCTCTTAATTGGCTCTGGGACCTGAAGACAACAGTTCTGCGCTCAGCAACTTGCACAGTAGAAGGGATCCTCAAAGGACTGGCTGATCAACATGTTAGTTTTCCTTATGATAATAAACTCTAGAAGTGCACTGTCACAGTGACCAGTGCAGTTTGAATTTGACCAGCTCACAGCCATGGCGAGTACTAAAGTTTAACCACTTCTTTCCCATGTCATTAGATTGAAGCTGTGTATCTTTTTACTGAGGGGAGTGCTTCAAGTGGATCACAGGAAATGCTCAAGAGAAAGGTAGGTAGACTGAGTACAATTGTAGAAATATGGTGGGGATTGCTTACTTTATTTTGTTTTGAAGCTGCATAAGTTTCAAGAAACAATTATACCACACAGGCAGATGGCCTGCCTTTAGGTGTGCTATTTTACATCAGCACAGAGGACTGTTGGTCACAAAAGTGAATAAATGATTTGAAATGATCTAGAATATATACGACTGGCAGAATCGATAATTAGGATTTAGCAGATGGACTTACAAGGAGTAGTTCCTCGTGCATTGTTACCTGTCAGGTTTTACTGGAACTTGAAGGGCTGATTTTCATGTTGGGAAAAATACAGGAAAAGTCTGAGAATTCCCCCTAGGGCATGGATGAAAATAAAATTATAACCCAATTGTGGCTTCAGGTCTTGGAATTGAAGCTGCACCACATCTGTGGCGAGTTAGTTGTCATCCCAACTTCCATGCTATTTTCCATTTTTTTTTTTATGATTGTTGGTATGTGGTAATGACTAAGAGCAATGTGTAGGCGCAAGAATTTGTATTATCATTTTTTGTTAGTGTTGGTGTTTCATAGTTTCGTGTTAGGTGTTTATTTTCTCGTCTTCCATTAGTGTCCTTTGTCAGTTACCAGTTTTGTACTTGTTATATTTATTTGCATATGGTATATATATTGGTTGCGCGTAATTTATTTGGTTAGTTGTCTAGTTTGCGAAAATTGTCGTTACATATCTAGCTCTAAGTTTCATGTTTTCGTCTTTGGTTTGGTCACATTCGTCTTGTAAGTATCCTTGTTTATTTCGCTTTGTCGTTTTCCAGTACTTTCACTCATACGATGTAAGTTACTTTATGCTCATTCGCGTGATTGTAATTTTGTCATTTTCAGTTACCGTATTCAACAATGTGTCAAGTTTGTTCTAGTTAAGTTTGAAATACGAGTGATTAGCGTTTGCGGCTATACAATGTGTTAATCACTTTCTGTTTTGCAGATACAAGGGAGTCGTGTACCTATTCATGTTGTGTCTTTTAACTGCAATGATCCTGGAACTGTGACATTTCTGAAGGACATATCCAGAATAACCAAAGGAAGGTAAGCTATACGCCCCAAAGGAAACAAGGTTGAGATATGATTTTGATGTAATTACATGTATATTGCAAAATTTTGTTGGTTTTTGTAGGTTCCATGCTTATTCAGTCATTAATGAGTATGAAGATAGCTTTGACAGCTTTACCAAGTCCATTGAAGCTGACAGCACCGAGCAGCCCCAAGGGCGTGGCAGAGGTGATGGCATGCCTTCCTTGAAGCTTGGTGTGGGTGTCAGGGAAGATGTGATCACTTTATGGGAAGAGTTGGATGAAGCAAGGAACACTCTGGCAGAGATTCAAGCTCTGCTGTGTGAAATTAAAGATCCAAAAGAAACACCAGGTACAAACGTTATACGATGATATTTTATTCTTTACTCTTTGAATCCGTTTGAAGAGTGAGCATTTTGTCAAGTCGTATTGCGAGTTTCGTCCTTAAAACATCTCACGCCTTCTCGAATAGTTAAGTTAACACGAGGCTCGCGCTACGAGCTGCTAGCTATTGATACAGTAGAGCCTTTGACGCTCACAACGGGTAAAATGGCGCTTCGAGGGAAAGTGATGGTTTTCCAGTCACTTTACATAAGTTAGCTTTTATGAGTACCTTTTCGGTTGTCAGGTATGGGTAAAAACCAAGCCAAAAATGTGTTTTTAGCAAATTTCTGAAGGTTTGGCAAACCAAGAATCCCTTGTCACTCACGGCAAGATCCTTTTTTTAATCCGAAAATACATGGGGTTTGCGCTTTTTCATTCTTAGCTTTGCTTTCAGCGTTAACCAAGTACTTTTTTTCTCCTTTTGAATGTTTCATGATTTGATGTTGACTTATCAACTTTCAAAAACTAAGTTTACACTCAAACGATAGTGTAAACAAAGTTGAGTTGTAGTGGGACTTCCCGGTGAAGTAGTTTGCTGCAAAAAGACTGCGAGAAAGTTCACGCCTTGCGGAGATTATGACACCTCGAAAATACTTTTTTGATAACTTGTGCGCGCTCTAGATGTTTATCATTTTTATTGTTCCTGTTTCAGTGTCTACTTCTCCTAACACTGCCCCTGACAAGACTCAAGATAGAATTACTAGCTTAGGCCACACTAAAGCAAAGAGTGAGATGTACATGAGCTCTCGAGATTGGCTAAAGGTATCTTGTATACGTTTTTTTTTTCAAAGGGGATGAGGGGATCTCATGTAAAAGTTATGGGGGTGGTCATCCAAGATTTTGCATACTAATCGATTTTTCACTTCTGTTTTCACAGCGACATGGTTTGAAGTCGAAAAAATTGTTATTCTATGACTTGCTACAGAGCCTGGCTTTTAAACACTGCGATGGAGTCGTGGACATCCAGACAGCACCAGTTTCTTTAGACAGTACTGACGCTGTGAGTAAGATGCATGAAATGTAATTGATGTTGCAGACTTTTTAATGAGTTAGTCATGTCGAGATCCAGTAACGTTGATTTCAATGGCAATTAGGAAAATTGTTTAAGGGAATTCTTTCCTCCTATCAAGTAAGTCGAGATAAGCAGAACACCCTATTTTACATTCAAGGGAGTCGATGGCCTGCTAGTGTAGACGTATTCCGGTTTTCGTTTCTCTCCTCCCAAAAGATTCAGGTGGAGAGAGGTGTCAACCGTACCTTACAACAAAGGAGATCGATAGGATTGAACCTTTAAGGTTGTCTGTGGGTAAACTTTTGAAGGGAATGGTGAGAGTCGTAGGGAGGATGCTAAACAAAATAAACTTTTTTAATTTGGTGATGGATGTTTCCTGAAACAGACAATTCTTCAAAAGCGAGTAAATATTCATAGCCGACATGTTCACAACATCGTATACACTGCAGATTAATTGGTTCTTCCATTTATGTTGTCCTCTCCTACAGATTGTTCGTCCTAAATTAGTCAATGCGCGTTACTGTGATAAGTTTGCGCATGTTCGATGGAAAGATGGGTCCATAATGCACGTGCACGTCAGTGGACCAATACACAGAAATTACGAACAGAGGATCTTGTCGGCTTTGGATTCATATAGAAAGAGGTGAGTAGTTTTGAAGAGCTGGCAGCGGTTGTTCAAAAGGTGGATAACGCTATTCACTGGACGAATCTCTATTTGTGGTGGATGGCGCAGTAAGTTTTGTTTACACTTATTCCCTGGATAGCAATTTATCCGTTGGATGGCGCCATCCACCCTTTGAGCAACTGGGCCTAGGTCGAGATAAAGCGAGTTTCAATTGTGTCCAAAATAAATCCAGGACTCTATATGCATGCTGGTAGTTTGTTTGAGGCAATGTTCTCTTTTCTAAATAGAATAAGAAAGATTGGAAGTTTTTGAGCTCGGTAAAGAAATAGAGAAAGACGCTTTTCGTCTTGTCACGAGCGTGGGACAAAGAAAAAATTCCCCTATGAGGAATCGAACCTCAGACCTTCGGATTCCGCACTCCGATGTTCTACCACTGAGCCTGAGGTCTGGGGTTCGATTCCTCAAGGGGACTCAGAATTTTTTGTCCCACGCTCGTGAGAAGATGAAAAAACATCTTTCTCAATATTCTCTTTTGTTCCATGGACATTTATTTTCGCGCGAGCCACTGAAAAAAGTCCCGGATGTGTCGCCTCATTCTGAATGCTCATTTGTTTCGCTTTATTTCGCTTTGTGATTGGTCTACCAGTCTCGCGCCACCCTTTCAACCAATCAGTGGCACCACTGAAGCTTAGCACGAGTGGCTCTGTGACGTCATTCTGCTCACGAAGGCGAGTTCTCACGATGGCTTCTTGAGGAGAACATACAGTGAAGGTTGTTTTAGCTAATGAATTCTGACGTTCATTAATCAAAATGTTATTTGGTTTGTATTGTAGGATGGAGTGGTTACAACAAGGAAGCAGAGAACTATTTGGCACGATAATCGAAGACCAGGTTTGTGCAGGTTTTTCTTTAAAACATAATCTATGATCGTAATGGTTATGCTTTACTACGCTCTACAGTTGGTTAAAAAAAATAAAAAAAACTTGCTCCTCAGTTCCATGTGATCAGATGCAGAAAAACTAACACCAGCCTTGACCTGATCACTCGCCTTTTCCCGCGCTTGAAACCTGCTACCTGAAGTGGGCCTACTTCGCTACTTTCATTTTGATTGGCTGAAGTGATTTACCTTCATTGGTTATGTTACTGACTGTTAATTGTTGTTACAGGTAGCTGTGTTGATAGACACCTCTGCATCCATGGCCTCAAGATTGTTTCTTGTGAAGGACAAACTTTACAGACTCATGCAGGTTTGTTATCGCAAGAACAAAAGATGTTAGTTGATTTTGTTTCGTGCGTTGGCCTTTCGTCAGACACCTAAAGGGCCAACGCTCGTAAAGTCAGCTTTAGAAACTCTCTACGATGGCCAATTTACATTATCAATTCAGTTGATTAAACTAAATTATTTTTTTTTATGTCTTTTAGGAACAGTTACGTCATAAGCTGAAGTTCAACCTGGTGAAATATGACACAAGAGTCCAAGCTTGGAGAGATCGATTGGTTGACTGTAACACACATGTATGTGAGAGGAAATGATTAACTAAGAGTAGAAGTCTAAGGATTTTTTGTTGAAAACCTCAGCTTTTTAAAGCATTTAACACAACTGTGCAGGGGAGGTTGCTTCGACGTAGTCATCAGTCAATATTTGTAATATTGTTTGTTGTGTCGCTGTCGTCTTTATGAGCAGGATGTTTTGAAGATCTTGCAAAAGAACCTGCATTGTCATCGCTGTTGTTTTCTTTCCTTCCTCCGAATTTTCGTCACAGCGAACAGACTATAATTTAACGTTTTTTTTTCAGAACCTGGACAACGCATGGCAATGGGTAAAAGGTCTCAGCACTGGTGGTTCCACAAACACGCTAGCAGCTCTCAAACTGGCCCTCGCTGATCCTCAGTGTCACGCAATCTACTTGCTCACGGATGGACGCCCAGACCAGGTTACATTTTCATAGTTCTGTTTACTCTTATTCCTCGACCCTTGAGCACCTCGTGAGGATTTGAAGTTAGTGCTTGTAACGAGTTTAAATTTTAAAGAATTTTTCGGTTGTGTCGCTAGTGATTTAGGATTGTATTGGGTGTTCTTTATGTTTTGTGATTTGACTAGAAATGCGTGGCCCAACCTTATCAAAGATGCAAAGACTAAAACAAATCGCGCAGCTTGGTGTCTTCCGTTTCCTTGCGCTTGATATTGTTTGCATTTTTCTTTTTGTATCTGTGTGTGTGTTTTTATATTTCTGTTTTATGTTTCATTCTTTCTTTCAATTGCCGTTTGCTCCTTATAATTTTTACCTTTGATTACCCCTTGTGGTTTCTTTGGGTTTGGTTTTACAACATTCAATTGAAAAAATTGCTGCCCTCTCTTGCTGTATTCCTCGGTTTCTTACGGCTGTACCTCTTTATCTTTTAGCCCCCTTCTTCTATCCTGGCCCAAGTACAGTTGTTGAACCCAGTCCCCATTCACGCCATCTCCTTCAACTGTGCGGACACGGAAGCCAATCAGTTTCTCTGTCAGTTGGCCGCAGAAACTGGAGGCAGGTAAGCCGTGTATTCCTGCGAAAATGCCACTGTCAACTTGAAGAGCTGCTTGGTGATATTTTAAGTCAAATGTGCAGTTGTGACGAATTTACAACATTTTTGTTTCTTAAAGAAACTAACATGTGGTCATTCGTGTTTTTGTTTTTGTTTTGGCTTTTTTGTCCGGCAGATTTCACTATTTCTCTGAAGATGGATACGATACAGATGGTCCAAGGCCATTCGAAGTAAGTGTTTTGCTTTCTTGAAATAATTGCTCCGTAAAATTCCTGTACAAAAACTTCGCTGCTTGAATAGGTGCAAAGATCGGTGCATTGTAAATTTATGGAATTTACCTTTTCGTGCTTTACAAACCGTCCCTCACCATTGATTGAATACAGAGTGATATCTCTATGAATTTCAGAGCGAAGACCTGAGACTTTTGAGGGAAGAGATCGAGAAAGGTTTGGGAGATTTGCGCAAAGTTACCTTGATCAGAAATGAATGTGCGCAGCTCGACTGGTTTGGATCCAACACCGGGCGCTGCTCAAAGTAAGTAACTGAAATGCCATCTCGGAGCAAATTGTCTAAGTCAGAACTAGTTGGCTAGTCTGATTTCCATACTTAATCAAAGTTATTTTATTGAGGTACCATGGACAGTCTGGTCAGGTCTGTCGGTTCCTATGTCAGCTCCACTCTTCTGACGATTTCCCACAAACAGTTTCTTGGAATAGTTTTATTACCCTGAGATTAGTCTTCTTTCCGGCTGTTTCGTAGATGCAGAGTGTTAGTGGGAAAGCTTTTGTCTTCCTGTAGATTATTGAACAGGCTGTAGGGAAAAGCTATTTTGATTACAGCAAAGTAAGATGCCTTAAGTTAAGCTCGATGAAAGACAGAGTTTCCCCGTGGCCGTCCAGTTAGGAAACGGAGTAGTGCATAAGAATGTGTTTATGTCTGAACTAAACCAAACTTTGTTTGGTATGAGGTCAAAGATGACATCATTTAAAGATTTGTATCATGAAATACCGACCTTCTTTCTTCGGATTGAAAGAGAATGATCGAAGGGCGGTAGCAACCTGTTTTTCTTTTGTATGCTTGTTTTCTCGGTTTAGTTATATTAATTCTGTTCCCCCTTGTAATTCTTACGTTTCGTACCTTTTGAACATGTTTTTGATATTGCACCTCAACAGGAGCCATCCAAGATCCGTCAGTGCATCCTCGCACAGGCCATTCTCAGCCAAACACACCATGACACCCTCCCCACCCAGCTCGGAACGCTCTGCTAGTGCCAGAATCCGGCCAGCATCTGCCAGGCCTCGACCGGCTAGTGCTAGACCCCGCCCAGCCAGTGCACGGATAACGTACAGCAGTCACAAAGACTACCTCGTCAACACTGCATGCCGGGATATTCCGCGGTCTCCTTCCCAATCCTCCATTAGTCGTAAGGTGGGAGAGACGAAAACCAGTCAGCTAAGACTGGGCCTGAGGAAGAAAACATCGGATTCTTGGATGCTAGAAGAGTCAAGACAGTACCTTGGCAGAAAACCTGAAGATTTTAAACAACCTAAACGTAATGATTTGCTTTTGTAAACATATTAATGACAATGACAATGATAACGATGATAAAACAGCCATTTTATGGTTTCGATTCTATCATATTCAGGTCAGAATGACTGGATTGTGAACAATTTCAGACTTTCATTTCTCCGATAATTCCAACTGTATTGACTTTGGATTAGTCCTTCGATTGACAAATTTTTATTTAGAATTCGGTCATTATAGTAAAGAAACAAGTGATGGAATTTGAGGAAACTACTGACACACTTTCTTTTTAACTCCCCCTGGTCGTAAATCGAAGAGTAAAAAACTTGGTCTATTCATTATAGTATCGACCTAGGGCTCGGGTAGTAAAAGGTTTGTAGTTTGGGTCTGGTTAAAAGTGTGAGGTAAAGAATGACCGTGTAGCACAAGGTCTACTTACAAAGTCTTCACTGTCTTACTTTTAGGAAAGATCAAGAAGAAGAAAAATGGCTCAAACGGAGATGAAAAGTGAGTACACGATCCATTTCTACATAGCACCTTTTGACTTTCTAATGACCCTGCCTAAGTCTTCGTATCGAGCCCAACAAACAGTATCTGTAAGATAGAACCTATTAGAGACATTTTAAGCAACTTTGAATTGATAGCTCTACTCCACTCCTTTCAGAAAACTTTGAACGTGAACATTAACGTTTTAGGACTCATCAGCCGAGTGTGCATCTCTCTACACACACGGTTTTCCTAGTATTCGATATAAGAATATTTCCAAGGGTGAGATAAAAGAAATCGCAGAGTTGCGTTCTCAGAAAGGAATGTCTTGTGTTGAAGAGTTTATAGAAAGCAGAACAATTGTTTATTTGTTTTACTAAAATTTAAAATTTCTTTTAGCGACGAGGAATTAAAAGAAAAAAAGTAAGTTGAATGTATCAGCTCTATCGTATGTAACAGCATCGGAAAGGCTTGAAGGTGTCCCAACGAGCTAGCCCGTATTTTTCGGGCGAACTTTTGATATTCTCTGGGGCAAACACGTGTTGGTGATGGCGAGTACTAGTAGCTGAGAAAAGTTTGTTTTCAGAATTATTGCAAAAAAAAATTGAATTAGATAGTCGGGTATTTTTTTTCAACCACTCAAGGGAGGTTTCCAAGCTAACCGAACTATACCTCGTCTTTTTTCTCTCTACTTTATCATTGCGCCTGTTCTCTTCTTGAACGCAGAAACGAGCCACATTTCCTTGCACGCAAATTTCGACTTCACCATAATATAGGTTCCTTGTTAGTTCTAGATGGCTTAAGAAACATGGATTGGTAGCCAGACGGCTTACTATTCTGGACGCTCTCGCTCCTACGCTGATTCCTCACAGTACCAAGTATGTTCCGATATTGGACAAACATGTCCTCTCCAAGGTTTTTGACCAGGTAATTATATACTGAATCTCCAGACCATGTGTCTTTTAAGTTCTCTTCTTGTCTGCAGAAAATTTGAGATCTAGGCTAATATGTTCTTAACTGATCGTAGTAACTTTCTTGGGGTAAACTTCGTTCAAATCGCTCTTATCATCAAGAATCTTTGGCTAATTTACCTTGCATAGTCTCTGGAGGTTAACAGGGTCAACATTTTGATCTTGTATTGCAACTCTCTGGTCGAGGTTATGCCTGAAAAACGCTGACCAGTCACTGACGTCTCCACAACTCAAGCGGAAGTCATCAATTCAACCCAGGAATGGGGATGATTTCTACTTTGGTTTTCAAAACGCCAGTCACAGTCGTTAAAAAAATAATCCTCAAGCGATTACAGGGTTCATTCAGATCAACTTTTCGATGATCGTTTTCTCCAATCCCACAGTCGAAGAATAGAGAAGGATTCAATCTATAACCCTTGACAGAAAATTTCACCAACTTAAAAAATGAAAAGCAAGATCGCAACTGATCGCGGCTCGCTTTGGTAACATGCAAGCGCTCCCTCTCGCTTTCGGTTTTGTTTTGAGACCCTCAATAAAAGAAGCCTTTTTAAATTCTTTCTAGGTTCTTCCATTAGCCCACACCTCGGGGAGCAATCGCGATGAGGTACAACTGGTCAACCCACAAGGAGTGAATCTTAAGGCGTACGAGGCTCGGTTAGAAAAAGCCATCGAAGACTACAAAAGGTGAATAATGTCAAGTTAGTCTCTCTAAAGGCTATGTAACTTGTAAGGCCGTATATAGCTTATCGAAATTTTCTGCATCCCTTACGAGACCGTACACTAGTTGTGGTCTGCAGTCTCGTTAGGGCGGATGTTTTTCAATTATCAGACTGGGAAGTGTCTCCTCTGATCCCATGTGATTCGAGGAAAGATGTTCAAATCAGAATGGAAATGTCGCGCATTTACTACGCAAGTTATTTACATGGACTTTCAAGACCTCAAGCCTGTATTCCCCTCATGCGGTCGTTCCGCCTGGTCATTAAGATTCTCGTAATGACCGCAAAAACAGCAACCTATCTGAAATTTAAAAAACAAACAAACGGAAAATGAAGTAAAAAGAAAACTGCGGCTTGTAATTACGTTTTTTGGGGGTTTTATCAAAGGTGGAGGTAGCTAAAGTCGCCCGTTTCTGAGAGAATCCACGTAGTGATCTTTCACTGTGTTATATTTGTTTCGTGTTCTGATGTTTTGTTTTTCTTCTTTCCTTTCTTTATTTTAGGCGTCTCGATGAGAAGGTGTTCGTCAACCTCAGCGATGAAGAAAGAATGAAGTAAGGAGATGCCTCTATCGCTTTGCATATCTTTGGAATAGAAATTATTACTGCTACTTACCAGCCTCCTTCGCAACCGGTGTTTGGCCTCGTCTCACAACTCGCTCTCTCCCTTGTGACGAGGCCAGACAAAGGCTGCTAAGCAGACTACTTGCTAAAGTGCCTATGTCTTCTCTGCTCTACAATGAAACCAGTCTAAGTTACTTTTTTTTGTTACCTTTCTGGATAATCAAACAAGGTATCCCGAAGACAGGATCCCCTCATTCCTAGACAACAAGAAATCCATATTGGATGATCTGGAGAGGCAAGGGTGGCCATTAGACCAGGAAGATATTAGTTTGTTGGAGAGAGAAATCGAACAAGCTCAGACATTCCTCCTACAGTCCAAAGACCTGCGGCAAAAATCTGAACAGGTTAGTCGTCCTATTTACCGGCTCATATCATGAAGTTTTTTCTTTACATTTAGCCTTAAGCACATACCTTTAAGAGATGTGAACGGCATTTCGAAGTTCTCAGTTCTTTTCCTTGGAGTTTGGTAAAAATCATTCGACTGCAGCGTCTGGTTTAAATGCTGAAAACATGTCATTCCAACTCAAAATGCGCCAAAAGTAGGCGTTTTCACCAGCTCAAAACGTTTACTTTAGTTCTGTAAAATTATCAAAGCGGACAGTTGTGTAAATTGAATTAAAAGTTACCATGGAATTTTGCAAAAATGCAAAGATCTTGATGTTGATCTCCCAGAGGTAATAGACGTTCTCTTGAAAATTATAATTCATTATCAATGAAAAAGTGATGGAGATATACAAGGTTATCAGGTTGAGTGTCTTTTGCTGATATGGTGTTTAAGTCTCACAACCTATTCAAACGAAAATGTATGGAAGCGATAATTAGGGAGAGATCATCAATCAGATCATAAGAGTATATGGTTAAAGAGCCCTGGTACAAATCAGTGTTTATTAGTGTTTATTATTTCTTTTCCGAAAGGCGTCCCGTGAAATTGCAGAACAGCAAAGGAAAGCTCGCGAGGAGGCTGAGAACAAGAGAATTGGACAAATCATGTCAAAGGTAAGAGATGGATTGTTATCCACGAGTGAGGGATTGCTGTTTTTGATAGCTTTTTATTTAACCGCTCGAGTGCAGGATCATGGGAGACGTCTGCGATCATGTATACGGTCTTTGTCGAAGTCCCCAAGTAACGCTAGCAGAGGCCAGTATCCCGGATGTGATCACGTGAGACTGACGTCACATTGGTTGTCAGTGTCAACTTTTTAGTCCTATTATCGATGTAATTCGTTCATATTAGAATTTTACGCCGATTAAGATTGTTCGTAATTGTTCATATCACATCGAGGTCTCTTGAGTGACATTTTTTTCTACTTTCTTAAACAGCCTGCCAAAACTTCTCCTCCTCCGTCCCAGTCCTACTCCAACAAGAACCGCCTTCTTAACCACAAGGTCCTGGCGCGAAGCGAGGTAGATGGCTTTTACTACGCAGGCGTGGTTACCCGCTGTTTAAACCCTCGTTATGTCGAGGTTGACTTCCGGGACTTTGACCGGCAAGTGGTGTCGTCCAGATACGTGATCACCGTTCAAGGGGCTCGACCATGTCCCTCCCTCAAGGTAGGTATCTTGAAATTTCCTACGTCGACTCAGCGCATTGCTTGCTTTAAGCTTTGCGTGACTATCCCAATAGTGTCCCCTCGTAACCTGTTGCGTGACCTATTTTCAGGTGGGTGACTACGTGCTCGTTAAGACGCTTGTTCCACGTGAAGAAGAGGATGACGAGATTAATGATGGCGTGCAGTGCTATGTACCAGGAATCGTTCAAGTCGTTCCTCTCAGAAAAGCCCCAGCCACCAAGTGCTACACAATACTGCGATATAACGGGAAAAAGGTGAGTTAAAGTGTTCAGACGTACCATAGTTTACTCCTGTAGAGTTTGAAAAATGGAAATATATGAATTTAGCTTTTTTGGTCAAGGTCACGATAGAAGAGGCAGAGCAAAAACGAGGTGGGAGGTTTGGGTCGGGTTGCGATACGACCTAAACCTCTATCGCTTTTGCACTCCTCCGCTGCTATGGCGGCGTTTATTATCGTGCTTCGTTTTACTTGCTGAATTCTCTCAAGGCTCATCTTAATTTCCGGCGCAGCATGAAAGTTTCATCCACCCCCTATTGTCGGTTGTCCCTTGACACCCCGAAAGAAATTGTCATCTAATTTCTCCGTACAGTATCACTGCTGAATCAGACAAAAGATTTTGACAATAAAATAACATGATCGCCAACCAATGGATTTCTTGATTGTGAAAAAAATTCTCCTTGTCATTAGTATTGGAAATGTATATAGAACCGTATGGAGAATATTTAGTTGGATGGCAAGAAGTAAAGGGCTAATCGTTGGCATTTTGTTAGGTGTTTCGGGGACCCATTTACTCTCTTGGGTCGTAAGAGGTACTGTGGGACTATAGTGCCTTGATAACACAGCTAAATGCCGAGCACGGTGATTTAACCTTTTGCCACTACTCGTACGCCTACAGTTAGAGCTGTTCTCTTCTTTGCTCCTAGGACGGGCAAGAAATGATAAAAGTAATTAGCGTAACTGAGTGACCTCTCTCCTAGATCAAGGGGATGAGTTATTTCTTGTTACAACTGGTGTAGCTCTCTTCAACCTGTTATAACTTCAAACCAATCTTCCCTGCGATTGAACTTATCAGATACCTTATTATTTTTTTTTTTTTATTTTTTTTTTGCCTCTTGTAGATCACCTCTCTGAGAAATGACCTGGTGAAGATCTCTAAAGCGCGCTACACTTTCGCTTGTCGTTATATCCGGGACGCTTTGCTGACTGCTTATCGATCGTAAGTTAAATTGATCTATGAGTTGGCCAGAGTTTAGACTCTCGCTTTTGTTAGTCCCGAAACTTTCATAAGCCACCGGGGATCCATCTGCGTTGGGCAGTCGAGCCAGACCAGGAATTATTGTTCTAGGTATCCCTGGATCTCTTTACGACACAAAGTTTGCTATGTCGTTGACAGAAAATATAGGGGCCTACTGATAACAGTGCTTCAGCTTTGGCACGCGGCACTGAATCTTGAAAATACGGTTATGTCAATTGATTGTCTTATCTTTTCCTAGAACGACCCCTTTTGCCATGTATCTGAGAGACGGCGAAGACGATGCTGGCGTAGAAGACAAAAGTAAATAAGCATCTTTGGTGTTTAACTTTTTTTTTTAAAGTTTTTTCCAATTAACGGAAATAATTACAACCCAAATATTAACTCAGAATAAGGTGACCTTGACATCCCTTATGCAGTGTGATTGGAAACCAGCTGTAGGCTAAAAAAAGACTCGTCCCCAGTCGTCTCCAAAATGTTAGCGACGCCAAAGTGGCAGAGAAAATGGGGACGGAAAGAGGTTCGGAGGGAGATGACGTGTTCCTCTCTCGGTCTCTCGCAACCTCTACTACTTCACGTTCCATAACTGCCCGCGCTGTTAAGAAGACTGGAAACGAGTCAAGGACTAAGTCAAGCAATTACTAAAATCATTGATTTGAATTTTAGTATTACTGCTTTCTTCTGTAGATAAGGAGAGTGGCGAAGAATCCCCTCGCAGTCAGGCAAGCAGCCGAAAAAGTAGCCGCTCAGGCAGGAGTAGTAGGGCCAGCAGTCGTGGCAGCAGTCGTAAGGATGGCAGTAGAAGCCGCAGTCCTAGTCCCGGAGGAAGCGCTGAAGGCAGTCCTCCACCCTCCTCCAAAGAGGCAACACCCCGCAGGTCATCTGGGGACAGGAAACCTTTTGAGGAGCTGAAACAAGAGCTCGAAGAGGAACACAAAAGGCAGCTGGCTGAGGTGGAGAGGAAGATGGAGGATTTGCAAAAGCAGCTAGAAAGGGAGAGAGAACGGCGCGAAAAGGCGGCAGAAGAGCTGAACGAGAAACGACGGGAACTAGATGACGAGCAACGAAAACTCTTACAGCAGCAGATTGATGATCAGAATAACAGGTACGGGCAGCTGTATTTAGGAGCAGAGCTATCAAGGGTTTTTGAGGGTGCAAGTGACTTCCCTTCGTTATCAAGGGAAAGTGATGATTTAAAATCACTAAGTAGTAACACAACTTTGTTGGCCGCATGTTTCTTGTTGCATGTTTTTCTCAAGTTTCTCCTTTTGTCACTAAGAAATTCATAAATGATAAACTTGTGTTTGCTTTGAATTTCCAGTTATACTGATAGCACTGATAACTTGAGTATCCTGATGCAAATCGAAAACATGTTTCATTCCAGGTTTTGCCTTTATTTGGTTTTGTCGTTTTGTTTTTCAATACTAAACTCAACTCCTTCCCGTCCACCCTCCCCCTACAGGGATTAAGTTGCCCTTGATAGCATGAATTTAAAAAAAAACAAAGGCTAATTGGCATATTCATAATGGTGAATTTCAAATTGAATTTTGAACAGACAAAAAGAGATCCAAGAGGAACAAAAGCGACTTCAAAATCAACAGAATGACCTTTTAAAGAAGCAAAAAGACCAGCAAGAACAATTACTCATGCAACAATTCAACCAGACACAGCAACTTCAACTACAGCAACAGCAACTCCTACAACAACTAGCAAACAATCTTCCATCTGAAACTCGGTCCGAGCGACCCCGGGTGAAACTTCCCGACATACCACCAGTCTCTCCTCCCAGGTCTCGCTCTATTTCTCCGCCTAGTCCATCATCGGCTCACTCATCCCCACGCTCCACTCCTAGAGGATCAACCAAAGAGTCAGGCAAGGCTTCATCTAAAGGCTCGCGCTCTCGCAGTTCAGGTAAAAAGTCCACGAAGTCGTCTTCTCCACGTTCACCCGTCGCCTCGCCTCGGCCTCAGTCTTCAAGGAGGTCTTCGAGTCATAGTCTTCCTCCAGGAACAGAAGACGACCGTGATGAAGATAAAGAAGAAAGTAAAGAAGGCGACAAGAAATCCAACAGCAGCGAGAAACGAAAATCTTCGTCATCTTCGTCCTCTTTATCCTCGTCTTCATCCTCTTCCTCGTCACCACCTGTATCAGATGATGAGCAAGAGGCCGAACCAGCTCCTCTCCCTGCTGGCAGTGAATCAGAGCCTCCTTCAGTCCAGATTCACGTATCCAATGGCAACGAAGCATGTCTGATGACAAAAGGATCTCATGGACTCTTGATATGTAAGGATTTATTTCTTATATTTTTTCTGTTCTTTTGTTTTATTTTATTTTTTTTTTTCGTTTTTTTTTTTTTTTTTTTTTTTTCTCCAACGAAGGAAAAGAACACATAATTTCATCTTTGATCGCATATAGGTTAATTTGTGTACCGAATCTCTTATCAGAACTTTTTTTACCCTTTTGTTAGCTCGCCTTCCTCCGGACGAGGATCCCGCGGTTGAAACTGGACGTGTTCGAAGACCCGTCCAGGTGGGAGAAGAAGTATTAGCACGCTGGTCTGACGAAGGGTGGTACTACAGAGGTAACACGAGATGCATTTACATTACTCTGTTAAGCCTGTCCGTTCTTTTTGCAAGCCTGTTTGTTCGTATCTTCGTATGAATCTTGTCGTTGGCGCTTATGTTGGTTGCAGTTTAGTAAGAACCTTTCTTGATATTTTTGGACAATGTTGTAATTGACAACTGATCTTTGCTTCGATAAAACGCAAATTGCGATGAGAATGCCTTCAGAGATTCAGAAATTAAATAGCCTTTGAAACTTGTATGCGTCAGCCATTTAAGCTGTAAAGCAATTAAGGGAGGCGAGGGCGGCAGATGGACCGTAACCCTGACCCTTTTTTTTAGGGCGTTTTAGTATATGCCTAAAATCTTCCTTGGTCATCGTGCTGACTCGCTGCCATCGGTAATTGAGTGAATAAGCACTTTGTCTGTTACAGAACTATTTTAGTGCCTTTCAATGATCACTTTATGTTTCTTTTCTCTTACTTACTGATTGCCAATCTAACAGACACAAGATAAACAAACGGCACTTGCCACTTTTTCTCCAGGCAAAAACATTTATAGACCAAACAGTCAGGCTGGCAATAACACAGACAGGCGTAAAGAAGCAGAAAGACGTACAAACGCACAAACTTTCGTTGAAGCGAGCAGTTGGCGCTGTATTATTTGTTCTGGTTTGATGATCGTATGATTGTCCTCCTTTCTCGTTAGGCACCATTCGCCAAGACTGTGGAGACGGTAGTTACTATGTAGAAGACAGCGTGGGAGACTTGGAACAGATTTACCGTCCAGACATCATTTCAGAAGCTGATGATGCTGATAACGAAATTGATGTACATGATCCTGTAGTTGCCCTCCATCCTTCATTTCCTTACAGTTACGCGCCAGGTAAGGGCAGCGGTGAAGTTGTTCTCAGAAGTGCAGGGTAGATAGCCAGTCTTTGGTTCTGGGTACGTGGTCCGTGGATGATAGTCCATGTGTTATGGTCTTAGGTCCATGAACCATGATCTGATTGTTTATGGTCCATGGTTATCACCTCAGTGTGGATAGTCGCTCTGAAACAGTGCTCAGCGGCGGGCATTCTATTTAAGCTCGTTTGTTTCTTCCCCAGGCACTGTTTTGCAAAAGGATGAGTATGGGTTATGCGTACGGCATTATGATGGTATAGAAAGCGTTGTCCCACGCGAGGACACGTATCTTCTCACTCCAGAGAAGTTTGAGAGCGATTGTGGGTACATCCTGCAGTGTGAAGAAAGTTTGGTCGGCCAGGCTGTGGTGGCAAGGAACGACCAGGATGGAATGTTCCATCTGGGTAAGTAATGTCTCCAAAGAACTACATTTTAAACTTTGCGTCATCGGCAGGAAGGAACTAGTTCTTTCAGTTTGCTTCAGTTAAGTGGATCCTCATTAATTATTGCATCATTGTCTTTTATCTTTCAGGGACTGTGCGTGAACGAGTTGGCAATGGCCGCCAGTACATCATCGAGTGGGCTGATCAAACAGTTCAGTTACAGGTACTAACAATCACAGTTCACAGCTTGAATGGCGGAATGCCTGAGAATATATTATGTGGACGATTTTCCAACGAGCACTTCACTGTGTCATTTGCTTCCACGTCTTTTGACATAAACCTTTTCCCATTTATTTTTCCCAAGCCATTGTTTATCGATGTATTTCTTTTTCTGTATCCCTCTAGACAACTCTATTTTCATCTTCTTGTTAAGATAACAATTTTGGAATTCTAATTTATATTTTGATATATAACCAGACACTCTCCAAGGCAATAAGCGCGAGAGCTTGTCTGAATACATCATATAAATTTTGCTAATCTGACCAGAAACTGTCAACTGCTTCTTTTCAGCTGGTAGGATCAATCTTACTTAGGACATAGAGCATGAAATAGGCCAGTATCCGTGTTATCTCGTTTTCACTGAGAAATAAAGTGAGAAATTAATTTGAATCATTCTTCTATTTGTGACAAAAAATTTATGACGATTTTTTGCGGTTTACTCTTCAGAGTTCTGGTTACATTTTTGGAGCCCACACGAAACGCCGCCCGCTTAACATAGGTGATCGTGTACTCGCACTCTCAGATCCAGGTGTGTAAATTTTAAGTGAACGTTTCTTAGCAGAAATAACCTCAGAAGTTTTTAGCATACTTGGATATAGACAGTCTAGCTAGTTGCCTTTATAGATGAGCCCTAGTAATTCCCTCATGTGGAGACGTGAATAGAAGGGATTGAAAGAGAAAAGCAAAAGCCAAGGTTGTAATCCCGAGATCGCTTGCGAAGTTGTGACGGCGCTATCATGTGCGCACATGTACATATCCCACAAAATCTGGTCGTTTTCTATCCCTAAGCCGTGTCTCCGTCGCAGCCTTTTGTGCGTTGCGTGACGTTAAAAAAAGCCCGCTTCGGAATGGACTATTCCCGATTCACTTAAAAATTTATCTGTTAAAAATGCGAGATGAAACTGTCCTTGGTCAGTTTTGCTTTACCTTCTGCTGTAAAAGTTGCGTGAATTCTCTTCGTCATATGCTCCTTTTCAGCTCTGTTTGTCTACTTACCTGGTTGGATCGCTGGTACAAATGGCCGTAGGCTGGTAATTAAGTTCTGCAATGGGAAAAGGTATGTTTCTTGAATTCCCTCCAATCCAAAATCTTACAAATTTGACTTGTTTCTCTTGGTTAATAGTTTACACTAATCTATTTCTCCTCTCATATTTAAAGTTCAAGTCACGTGGACCCCCAGCAGTGCTTTTGGTTGTCACGCGACTACTATGACCGTATGGTGGAAAACTTTAAGAAAAAGAGCAAAGAAAACGAGAGATGACGTAACATTCCTGTGTCGTGGTCAATACGCAAGCTTTTATGGGCTTGTTTTTCCCCAAAGAACTGTTTAATAAATTTGGGCCAAGCTGTAAATAATTACTTTATCAATGCAGTTACGTGTACATGTGTTTTTTAATTATTATTTTCATTCGCACTCTTCAGATTCCAAATCTGTGTTGTACATATGGATAAATCAGTGCAATAATTTGATCTTTGTGAGAAGCGTCTCTTCAATAAATGAGATTAAGAGATACGTGAAAAGGTTATTTTAATAGAGCGAGTTCTTTTGTGTTGTTAGGGATACAAATATTTTGATAAAACTCGTTACGAAGTTCATCCTATTTTTGTTTTCACTATTGATAATACAAGCATGAGAGTAAACCTTAGGTTCTGTTTGGTAGATCAACGTTTAAAGGTGGGAAATGGAATATGCAAGGGGGATAAGTTTCGAATGAAACGGTGGAGTTTCGTCGGTGGTGGAGGAGTTATTACAAGATGTTTTGGTTTATGCAATGAGTTGATAGCGTAACTTGACCGCCGTAAAGAGATTGTAAAGTTTATCAACTCAGTTGATTAAACCAAATTATCATAGAATAACAATAGACCTTTTTCGGAGCAGTTGTGACGAGTTGATGGCCTTTTGTTTTTTTCAAGTCCACGCAAGTACCAATTTAACCACGACAAGGCGGTATTTTTTTTTGCGATGGTCAAGTCTTGCGCTGCAACATCATTGCGTCTCGGAAAAAAAGATAACGTTTGATTGCATATTTGACCGCGGAAGAGTTGTTCTTCGCGGCCGCACCGAGACCTTCACGAGGAGGTGATTGTGTTTCGAAAGAAGATGCTATTGACATGAAATTTACAAGATCAGGCAGTGCTACGTTGAACTGCAATGTCCACAAGAATTGTTGAGTGTAGTTCGGGATACTGAGAGGGCTACTCCAAAACTGGAAATTGCTTTCGAAGACCTTTATAGACAGTGCTCCGAATCCTAATGATATCTTTAAAGCTGGCGTGACTGACGGTGCATCATGGCGTGACTGACTGTTCATTATGTCGTGACTTTACCATTTGTATACACGATATCCCGTGAGACCCCTCGACATCATTTTTAGTTCGTGTATACTCGGTCAAGGTAATTTCATTAGAAGTTAAAGGGTTCTCTGCGACTTTCAGCTGTTGCTGTACAAGGCAATTTGATCCTGAGGTAAGTAAGTCTGACAGGAGACGTATTTCTAAGTGTACGTTCTGATGGAGATCCTTCGTTCATCCTTTGGCAGGAAAAGAGAACACCGTCGTTATTACCTTATTCGGATTCGTCTATCTTGTTTGTAGACCGGAGGAAGGTCGGCAGGTTTTCAGATTGGCGAGTCTAGTCCTAGAGGAACCAATGATTTGAAGATGTTTTAAAAAATCAGCGGATCAGTTCAAATTTAATTCCTAATTGTGTTACGGTTTCAAATTTTATATTTTATATCCATCTTAGGCAGACTTCTGTTGGCCTTAGGCGATAAATTGGAGTTTTTTCGACTTCGTGTTTAGCTCCTAAATTCGTAGTGAAGTTCTAATATTAAGAGAAATGGAAAAAACTTTCCTGACTTGAACACGACGGCTCAGCAATTTAGTATGTTATGCTGTAACGCAACTTGCAGTAAAATCCTAATAGGGTAAATGAAGGGCAAAGCAGATACGTCCACACTGCTGCTGAAGTAAATTCTTTTCACGTAAAATTATTCATATTGAAATACCCGCCTCCAGATCTGAAGAAAATTAAACTACAAATACTTCGGATCGACGAATCGGGCAAAACACAAACGCGGATCGGCTTATTTGCATACATCTTTAAGTTATAGAAGATCAAATTAAATTTACATATGTAAACGTCACAATCCGCAATGGACCAGAGCAAAACTGGTCTATGAAATATTCTTAGAGTGGGAAAAGACGTACATACTTAGATTTTGTATTTCCTACAGGCTAATTTATATATCAGTAGCTGCACTATTTTCTCTAGCACTGATACAGCTATATATCCAATAATTTGTATACGTGGCTGTCGATATGGGAAATAAAAAGGAAACGTGAAATGTCACGAAATCACACAGCATGTTATTTACATCGGTAATGCTCAAAGACTTCGACTGTTTATTAGAATTTTCCCTTATGGAAGAAAATTCTGAGAAAAATGTCAACGAAAGATTTCAAAATAACTGTCTCCACACTTTGGCAAAAAGTTATGCTCGGAACTCTTTTACTGTCAGCACAACATGCTTGCCCTCACCCATTTAGGTTAGACGGCCGACTGTAACCTGCCGCAGTTGAACTATTTACCATTTGTTGAAAATCTTCACGGCTTTGATGTTGTGAACACAAAGTTAAATTTATAATTTAATCAGTTTTCCAGAAAAGAAGTTATGACAGACAGTATTAAACTTCTGATCTGCGGAAGCGGCAATGGAGCCCATGCCTTCGCGGGTATCGCCTCATCACATGGGGGAACTGAGGTCAGAGTGCTCAGTTTATATCAAGACGAGGCTGAACGGTGGAGCAAAATCATGCAGACCGCTGACCTGGAGATCACCTGCCACCGGCGCGACCAAGAACCGAGCATCATCAGATCCAAGCCGGCTTTGATTACTAAAAATCCAGAGGAAGCTGTGCGTGGTGTTGACATTATAACTTTAGTGCTGCCAGCATTTGCTCATCGGGTGTTTCTGGAGGCTTTAAAGCCGTATGTCGAGCCGGGTGTGATAATTGTTGGTCTACCTGGGGCCTCGGGACTAGAATTCCAGGTTCGGGGAATCCTGGGAGAGAAAGCAAACATGTGTACGGTGATGAATTTTGAGTCGCTGCCTTGGGCGTGTCGCCTGGGTGAATTTGGCAGGAAATGTGATGTCCTAGGGACTAAGGATTCAATGGTAGGAGCTATGCAGGTAAGCAGAATCATTTAAAACGCACGATGCACGTCGTTGCTACGGAGGCATAAGGGACTGAAAGTCTGATTTCTCCAGTTCGAATTCCGTCAGCCTCGCGCCAGACCTCTCCGTCCTCTAACCCATGTACCTTCTTTTGAACGCCGAGTGCGTTCGTTGGAATATTCCAAAAATACTACGGCTCATGTGAATGAGAGGCTTCTAAAACAGTCTCAAGGACAATAAACTTGGTGAACCGAATAACAGAAGAATGCAAATATTTCAACGGAACTCGAAACCTGTTTGAATGGCCGTACACATTCGAGAACGGATATGTCCATGTAGTTTGTATTGTTAGGATTTTTCGAGTCGACTGTCAACAGAGCATCAGGTGCTTGCTAGATGCTCTCACCATTGTACATTACCCCTAATTACTAATTATGATTATTATCATGATGCAGTGATATAACACGTGACTTCTCTAACCTCCAGAGGGTCACTCGAATCCGTAACAAGACTGGTCTCAGCATGGCCGCGTTCTTTGTGCTTAGCGAGATTATCTCTCCCAGATAATCTACCAAGAACTGGAATTACAAAAGCACAAAGTAATTGGGCTCGAAAGGCATCCCAAATGAGCGTGCTCTAAAAACTGTTTTTTATTATAATTTTTCGTTAGGCTGGAAGAGATGCAGCACCAAAAAAAGACCCTGTTACTACCCTACAGAGTCTGATTGGCGACCACCCTCGTTTGAAGGTCTCCGGGCACCTTATTGGGATGACTCTTATGAGTCCTAACGCGTATGCCCATCCGTCAATCATGTTTGCTCAATGGGAAGGGTGGGATGGGAAGCCTCTGAAAGAGGCGCCCCTGTTTTACACTGGGTTGAGTGAATTAGCAGCAGAAGTCTTGTCAAGTGCCTCCGACGAGGTTTTAAAAGTGAGCAAGGCTGTCAGTGAAAAATCTGGTGTGGACACATCACAGGTAAAGACAGGGAAGAAGAATTCGTAATGAATTAATATAGGCACACTGAAAAATTTTAAGAAGCTAATTGAAGAATCTCTTCTAGGCTGATCGCTGAGCGTCAAAGTTTATGAGAATTTTCTTCCACATTAATTTTTTCCCAAAATTATTCCTTTTGACCCCCGAATTTGTTTTTGTTGTTGCCGTGGTCTGTGTAATATAAACTATGGTTGTACACTCATGTTCTATTTTTTCAGCTTTCTACCGTTTTCCCAACCTGTTGGGCTTCATTTAACTAACTTCTGATCAGCCTAGTGTCTTTGATTTCCTCAACCATCCCATAGAAAGCGATAACATCGCATAGGAAGCATATTATGTTAACGAAAAAATAAAGTAATTCTATTTTATGATGAAAAAAGCATGTACATGAAATATTTTGTGTGCAAAAAGCGATCGGTTGGATTAACTCCCTTTTGATAAGTTTGTTTCTTTCTCCGCTTCAGGTAACGAGCATCTATGATCTTCTTGTCAAGTTCTATTCTCACGAAATTTCCGATACTTCAAGCCTGCGATCTTGTTTTTGCACAAACGCCGCGTACCAGGGTCTGAAGCATCCGATGAAAGAGAATATCAATAAGTCCTTCGTACCGGACTTCTCTCATCGTTATCTGACAGAGGATGTGCCGTATGGACTGGTGGTCATCCGGGGTATAGCGGAAATCGTACAAGTGGGGACGCCCACCATAGACAAAATTCTTCTATGGGCCCAAGAGAAAATGGGAAAAGAGTACCTTGTTGGGTCTAAACTTCAGGGTAAAGATGTGCCTTCTACGCGAGCACCTCAGAGTTATGGACTGATCTCGCTGGACGCTATTTTGGGAAGAGCCTAGTTTGTGCTCATAAGGGCGTCTTACTTTCAGTATGGCTGGTTCAAGAAATCATAAACTGGAACACAAAGATAGAAAATTATTGTCATTAACCTTCATGTTCCATGAGGCTTTCGCAGAAACATTTTCAGGAAAAGAGGTGTCTGCCAGAGGATATTTTGATTTTAGAACGAGTTTTTATTGTGGATAGGGTTTGAATCTCATTGATAGAGTGTCGTAAACAAAAGCTGAAGGAATCAGAACAATTGATTATTTTTATGCATTTTTCGTTTGTCGCTGAACTAATTTTCTAAGAGTTCACGGTAAATAAATGAAGACTGATCGACTCACAATGTTCGGTAATGTTTGTGAATTAGAGCGAATCCATCAGTTTAACTGTTGAAACGTCTCCAACTGGCGAACGTTTGTAAAATTAAACTGTTGTTCCGATTTTCATTGCTTAACAAGTAAGAGCAATGTCATTGCCATTAGTCAATATCTTAAATGGTAGTCTAAACGAACATATCTTAGAAACGACATTGAACGAAGTCAGCAGCCTGTAGGTATTTAGGTAGCAACTTTTTGTATGAATTTGCAATTTTTCAGCAACAACAATTTGGTATTTTAACGAGCAACTTTCCAGAATTTTACGCGTACAATCAAGATAGGCCTAGTCGTATCTCTAGATAGCCCCGCCCCATCAAGTAAATATATGTATTTGCCGGCCGGGAGATCCGTATGGTGAAAAACAATTTTCACCATATGGACCGACCTTTAGCCGGTAAATAATATATTCATTTTTTTTAAACTTGACGACATTCTTTCCGAAAGAACCCGAATGATTTAGGGCTGTAAATACGGCAAGATCTTCCGTAAACTGAACAATGTTTGAGCGAGTAACTGGTTAAAATAGAGGTGATGCAAATTAAAGAGATGCCTCACCGAAACATTTTCATTTCCGCAACGATAGAGGTGATTTAAAAGGCTTCTTAACAAACTTTGAAACATTATTTTTACAAGTATCTGTCACAATATGACACTTGTCAATTCGAGAGCAAGTAAGAAAAGAAACGCGCAAGAAGATTTGAAAAACAACGGAACTAGTTTGGCAAGGACTGTCACGATAATGTTTTCTTCGAAAACAGTCAATGATCTGACTCTGATCGACGATTCATTCATGTTCGAAGATTTACCTCTGTTCATTAAGGAAACGGCGAGGAAAGCAATTGTGAGTAAATTCAAATTTTTTGATTTGAGGTTGTGAGAGTGTGCTCGTTTGTTTGCTGCAATGGCGTGTGTAAATCTGGTCTTTCGTCCACAAAAACTAAATTCGAATGGCGCACTCCAACGAGACACAAGGAGATTTAATGCGGTCTTTTCTCATTAAATTCCTTCAGTTTCTGTTGTGCAATTTGCGGTACAAATGTCCAAATTGAACGGACTTGGAAAGACTCACCGGGAGCGTATATTTGTTGTAGAACTGAAATTAAAACTCCTCTCGCTCTTTCACTACGAACAAATTGTTTGAGAAAATTTAGATATTAAATGAATGAAAGTTCCATCGTTCAGTTAACTGTAACCAAATACCTCACGTTTTTATTTTCTAGGTATTTTTTTGTGAACGATTAAAATTAATTGCAGACGGTTTATAGGCCGCTTGTCAACCAACGTAATGACGCTATTGCTTACACAAATTCATTCTGAAACCAATATATTTTCAGTCAACCAAAGTGATCTGAGAGAGAGAAAAGAGAGGATTCATAAGTTATTTATGGGCTTGAGGTAGTGGCCGACGTGTTTGCTTAAAAATACCGCCCAGCCGGAAAAACGAGATATATTTATGAAAAATGGTAACGAAAGTTGGGATGTACTCGGCGACTCACGAAAGCGTTACCGTGGCTCGTGGGCAGAGATAGGAAAATACTGACCGGATCAAGAACCATTCAGATTGCAGGATTTGTTACCGTGCCCTCTAAAAAAAAATAATGATACATATTTCAAAAGGAGACCTCCATCACTCTAAGTGGTTTTCAGGGGCGTATGCCGAGTACATCTGAGGTAGGTGTGTTTCCGATGTCCTTGCCACTATAATCTAATTTTTGTCACGTAGTGAACCAATCCTTCAGAGTAACGCTGGATTCTGCGTATTTTGTCAATATATGAATATGTTGGTCTGCGAAATGTTCCGAGAGTGAGGCATGTAGCATAATATTTATCCTTTATATCAATTCAAGCATGTTAAAAAATGGCTTCTCCACGTTGGTTTAGCTCGTAATGTCAGCCAAACTTTAGGTGATCCCACGAGTAAGATGCATTAATTTGCGAGTAAAAGGTCATGATGTCCATGATAAAAGGCGCATCAGCTTTGGCTTACAATAAAAGACAGCTTTAACTTTCAACTTGTAACTGCATGATAATTGTATCTTTCAGCTTAATGTAACTCAGGATGTATATATTACTAACACACGCCAAGATTAGCCCATCCTACACCTACGCACGGATTGTATAAATGTAGTAAAATTGTTCTGCTTTGTTTTTGAACATAAAACTTTATACACTATACCGGTGTTAGCCGTGGTTGATTTTTATTACCGTACATAAGCTTGCAATCTAGCTGAGCGTGAAAACCTTTAAAACTCGGACTGTCCATTTTGTTTTGTCTTTGAGGATTTCGTCTCTGCTCTCGTTTTAATAACGTAAATTACGGCGCCTGACGTGTTTACAAACCTCGGTTTGGTTCTCCTGTTGCTACTTGCCGGCTCGCTTGTTCCAAAATTTCCTCTAGTGTCTTACATCAACTTCACACCTGAAGGGTTTTCTGATATTAATGATCATACCAGAGACATTCTTTTTCGCGAGATTTTAATATACGCATATTACTCCATTATCGCCCTAGTGCACATGCAATTGAATATAGCGGTTTCGTGAAAGGTTGTCGGAAAAAAGCGTAAAAATGCACGTGATAACCCCGAAAGATATTGTCAGTAGGTGACCTCAGGATTTCAGGAAATCTGAGAAAACGTCATTCTAAGAACGAGACACAGCGAGTTTGATTGATGAACTGATTTATTTCACTTATTGAAGTAAAAGGAGTTCTAGCTACTCAGATTATCCTTTAACATTGTCGCCGGTTGCAAAGTTTGCCCCGTGGCGATCCCAGAAATCTGTGCACAAACGCAAGGATCCCACTAGTAATTCATTACACGAAACGAAGTTCAATTACCACATTATCACATCCATTTTGAATCGCAAAATTCAGTCGCTTAATACAATAATTTTTTTTTTGGCTGTATAGGTATTTTATTGATCCAGTAAAATTAGCTGGTTTGTAAAAAGCTGCAAAATTTGTCTCTCATTTTCCTGTAATTTGATTGATTTCTTCAAACAAACCTTGAGAATGATAGGGCCCGGAAGATCGTTCCACAATTTAGGGCGGCGGCATGGAAAGATCGATCGCCGAGCGTGGTGAGTATTTTACCCCTGCAAGGAGCAAGGACAACCATTGTTCATTCTCTCATCGTTCATCGCAGCAGAAGCGATAAGCTATTCAAAAATATCTCAAGTTAGATAGCAGCTGAATTTTGTTTTGCTTTCTTTTTGTTTTTTGTCTGCTTTTGGGAGGGGGAGTAGCACCTTTGAGCTTAGCGTTTTGAAAAGGTCTAAATGTTTTTTAAATAAACTGCTAGTGATAACACTTCACTTAAAAATTGTAAATGGAAGAAAATCAGTTGCCTTTGATGATATCATTTGTTTACTCAATCCCTGAAACACAAGATTATCCAACCAAAAAAATATAATGTTACACTTTCAAGACCTTTTAAAGTAGCCGTTGAGTCTTTTGGAAACTGAAATGAGATGAGGGTAATATTCTCTTACGTGTGTATTTCATCCCGTGTAATTTAGCCAAAATGCAGTGTTATGTTTAAGTTACATCCATCAATGGCGCAAATATTAGAGCGAAAACGTGAGTCAATATTTGCTTGGCTCTTTCTAAGCTTTTCAAACTGAGAAAGCTGGTTTGACGCCTTCTATCGAAAGCTAGAATGCAATTCATCAAAGCGTTATTTTTAATGAATTGTGCGTTAGACATGAATTTTTTAAGCTTGTATAACAAAAGATTTGGTAATCGCAAGTTATAAGTCTTCTAAAGTTGTACCCCGTTGGACACATCTGTTGATTCAGTTGTCGCTAATTTTAAACTTAAACATTAATATTGCGGAGCTTTCTATGAATTCATTTATTCTTAAACCATATTTCTACTGAGGAACTTCTTAAGACATTATTCAAATCAAATGTTTGCCTGTTTGTCCACTTTTGTCTATTTGAAAAGATCTCATAGACAAAACTATTAATAATGTTTGGAAGGCGTCAACTGTTCTGCAAAAATAAATGTCAGAATTACAAAAGACAAGCGATCACAGCTATCCATTATACATCAGAGAGTTTCTGATTAGCTGCAGGAAATTATTTCATCTTTTCAGAATTAGACTCAAGGGAAAAGCTCAGAGCTGTAAGATTGAAACTGTCAATTACTATTATCAATTATTGAAAATATATTTAATGTAAGGTAAGGAAAGCCGTCAATGTTCACCTGATGTCGCCAATTCAAGTTCTCGTTTTGCAGTTGTTATCTCTTTGCTATTCGCTTTTTATAATTCGTCATTACAAGCATAATATTTATTTTGCCTCGGCCAATAGAAATGCATTACTTGAAAAAAAAATCAATCAATGCATTAACTTCTAGAAGCGACTATTAACTTCCAATATTGATTACTGCTCTTCGATAGTCATACAGATGAATAATCTGCCGAAGCTTGGAAAATGAAACACAGCCTTTCACAACGTAGAAGCTGTCTTTTTACGATGATGATCTTCATCTTGTTTGGACTGGCCATGACACAAGGTGCTTTCTTTTTAATGCTTTATCGATGCATTCTTAATTTCTCTTCATATCATTAAAGAATTATTTCATGCTTACCGTGCGTATATCGAGTTATGGATCCTCGCGGGAAGTTTGGAGAGCACGAGAGAATGGTACGTAAGAGCTGCTCGAGGCCGAGCCGAGACTGAACTCCAGCTTCTTATGTGCTATCCAAATTTCTTAAGTGCATCCACAACTAAAGTTGCACAGCTAAAATCATGCACCAATTCTTTTACAACAAAGTGGCCAACTTGTGTTTGAAGAAATAGATTTTATGTTATTGTGTCGGGTTTACCATGTAATCGCGATTTACCCGAAAACAATGGGTGAAAGGCAAGGCATAAATGAACAAGAAATATTTGGTAACCAAAGCTTAACTGCTGATAAGAAGCTTAAAACAAACGAGTTTCTTGCATTTACCACGAGACCGTGAAGTAGATTCAGCATGTTTCAATTGTTGTTTATTAAAATTCACGGCCAGAAAATTGCGAGGCTTTGCCTTGAAACTTCTCAGAATTTTAGGATTTAAACCAAAATCTTCTATTGAACAATACTTTCAGGACATATTAAAACTTGAAAATAATGTTTACAGTTCGGAAGAATTACCCCCTCGGCGCAAAGCTTCAATTAAAGTCAGAAAGATGACTTTGTTCTTTTCCAGACGTAATTGGCATCGCGTTTGGGAACGAAGTACCTTTAACTCCAAAGCTAATTTCTTTGCTTCAAAGGTCCACATTCTTATTGTTTTTCGAAAAAAAAGTATAGTAAGTTAGCATAATTACTCTTCACTTGAGCTCCAAAACGTCTATCTAAGTCGGGATGGAACGGTAAAACAATGTCGAAAGGGTTGAAAACTCGACGAGAACTCGCAGCTGAAATGAAATTGCACAGCACACGTCATGTTATGGATGCACGTGCTATCATAAGCATTTTTGAAATGGAATTTCCCATTTTCTTCTATCCAACTGGCGCATTCATGGCGACCTCTTTCATTTATTTTTGGGTCCAAGGCGCTAGAAAATATCTGCGAAGTTTCGGCATGCTAGTTTTAGCTTGAGGCTCACATTTTTAGCCCAGTGAAACCATCAATTAATTTACGGCATAGATTTATATCTGAATTTATAACTTCAATGCTAGAATTGAGCAGTGACTCGGTTTTATATATGTAAATGAGTCATGCAAACTCGTCAATGTTTCTGAAAATTGTTAAACAGCATCGCACTAAATAACTCTGACATAGATTATGACATTTCTTCGACACAGAAATATATTTTTTGCACGATATATGAAGGGGAAGCTTTATTTGAACTTGAAATGTAAAATCGAATCTTGACTCGATTCCTTACAGGTGTTTCTCACGTCAACTTCGAGCCTAAAGATTTTGCTTACCTCAACATCACAAGAATCAGCTCACAACTTGTCCGAAAGGACATCGAGTGTGGATTTGCCTGTTTGGAAATCACTTCATGTTTCTCTTATAACCTGGCTGCATTTCCCGATGCCAATGGAAAACTGTCATGTGAACTGCTTCCATCGGACAAGTATAACAACTCAGACAAATTAATCTACAGCCCGATTTTCAACCATTTCAGTATCCCGGTAGGTGCAAATTTATTTGTTTCAGTTTTTGCAACTGACAGGAAAAAAAATGGTTGTCAGAGGAATAGTGTGAGCTAAATTTATAGCATTATCAGTGGCCAACGAAAGTCGAGAATACACATTCGGAAGTACTTTCATCAGCCCATGTTCTCTAATTTTGTATCATCATAGTGTCCACCAATCACAGACCGTCGATTTATAGAGCTGTTTAATAAATAAAGAGTCGTTGATATCGTTTCATGCTACTGACAGTTTATTCAATTTAAACAGAACCCTTGCTCCAGCGATCCTTGCATGAACGGTTCAACTTGTGTGGCCAAGTACATCGATGATGATTACCAGTGCGCATGTTCTCCAGGATTTAAAGGAAAACACTGTCAAATAAAAATAGGTGTGTCGACGTAGCATGCTCAATTTATTACCATCCAACTATATCTTGCTCAGTGCTACATTTATTGCGATATCTATGGACGTGAGTGAGTTATCTCATGATTTCTTTTCTTTCTCAAGTTCTGGAGAAAGACTGCAAAGACAATAACGAGGTGATTCTGGGGGAGATGGTATGTATCAATTGGACCCAGATGGAGGAAGCCTTTCAAATGCATTCTGGGCCTACTGTGATATGACGTCATACAATGGAGGTTGGACCATGTGTTACACTACCGATGAATATGTCAAACCCAGGACCGAGGTCACATACAATGCCTCTTTTCCTTATGGAACTGTCGGCTACAGGACCAACTGCAACAACATCTCTGTAAGCTGATTGAATAACCTCTTATCTCTATGAATATGGATCGCTTAGTATATGTGCATATGGATCGCGAAATACTATTTCATTTTTAGTCTTTTGCATGACACACACATAGGTGTTTCGATGTACATAATTGTTTTTTAGTATTTTTTTGTTAAATTTAAGAAAAGTTTTGAAACAATTCTCTCCTTATATATAATGCATTTCATATACACAGATCTATTCGTTCACTGCACTAAAAATGGCTGCTGCTCTGTATAATACAGAAAATACTAAAGCATATAAAACCTGGACTAAGGCTGTAAAAAAGGTCAGAATTTCACACCATATAATACGAGGCATTGTTTCTTTTTTCAGTTTACAGAGATTATGTTCTTGGATCATCAAACTTTGGCTAAAGTGTATTTCAAGCGGAGAACCAACCAGTCCATAACGGCCAATTTGAATTATGGGAACAATGCTTCTACTTATGGACTGTGGGACGGTATGGGAGTGAGCGACGCCTTCCACTATCAGCTACTGATTTGTAATACTTCATTCTACAGTGGCTTCTTCGTTTCTGGTTACAGAAATTGTTACAAGCAGTGTGATTACTGGTGTGGCGATGGAGTCTCCCCATACTTCCGTACTGCATCTAGCGATTCGCATTACTTTGGTGTGGCCTTTAACACCAATGGCCACATACCACTCGTTAAAAGGCTCATCAGTGTCGGTCTGCGCTGAGACATTTACGATTTCCTTCTTATGTATGTTATATTTAAACATGAGCATAACATATTAATCTCATCTAAGCTTGTCCCGATTGTGCACGGCAACTTCTGAGCAATTTTTTGTGTCCAAACAACCTCGAACAATTTTTGCCTTATTGCGCAATTTTTGTGTAAAGCATGGCTGTAGGGCACATTTCAAGCACAAAAAAGTCAACAGTTTTCATCGAAAACTTTAATCACTTCTGAATGTTTATCAACACTTGAGAACTTTTCTCATGCCCGTTGCGATTCTTATCTGATATTGTAAGATGGCAAGACGTCAAATGAAACATGAATCTTGTTCCTTTAGGCATAAGAGTATCCTTAAATTTCGCCCATATTTGCGAGAAGTTTACTACAGCTACGTTTTAAGCTCTTTTTCTTGACGAATGTTTGCAATTATTGTGAAGAATGAAAATAAAGATTTGGATTAACGTTTGAATAAAATATCAAGAAATTTAGGTAGCAACTTTTTGTGTAAATTTGCAATTTGTCAACAACAGCAATTTGGTATTTCAACGTGCAACTTTCCAGAATTTTACGCGTACAATCAAAACAGGCCTAGTCGTATCTCTAAATAGCCCCGCCCTACCAAGTAATAACAATGATAATAAGATACATATTTTAAGAGGAGACCTCCATCACTCTAAGTGGTTTTCAGGGGCGTATGCCAAGTACATCTGAGGTTGGTGTGCTTCTGATGTCCTTGCCACTATAATCTAATTTCTATAACGTGGTGAACCAATCCTTCAGAGTAACGCTGGATTCTATGCATTTTTCCAAAATATAAATTTATGTTGGTCTGCGAAATGTTCAGAGAGTGAGGCATGTAGCATAATATTTATCCACTATATGAATTTGAGTATGTTCAGAAATGGCTTCACGTTAGTTGGGCTCGTAATGTCAGCCAAACTTCAGGTGATTCCACTTTTAGGATGCATAAATTTGCGAATAAAAGGTCATGATTTCCATGATAAAAAGCGCACCAGAGTTGGCTTACAATAAAAGACAGCTTTAACTTGAAACTTGAAACTGCATGGTAATTGTATCTTTTCGCTTAATGTAACTCAGGATGTAACACACGCCAAGATTTGCCTATCCTACACCTATGCGCAGATTGCAAAAATGTGGTGGAGTCTGTGAGGCAATACAGTAAAGGAAGAAGTAGTATTAGTGGTTGAAGCAATTTACATATTGAGTTAGTAGAATCTGTGTCGTAATATAGTAGAGGAAGATGTAGTAGTAGTAGTTGAAGCAATTTACATGCTGATTTAGTAGAATCTGTGTCACTATAAAATAAAGGAAGTATTCGTAGTAGTAGTTGTAGAGGTAATCTACGTGTAACATCCCTCTGTCATTAACCAACTAAGGTAACAAGAAAAGACAGAGGGCTTCATCTTAATATGACACCAGACTCTCTTGAGAGAATGTTTCACAAGTAGTAATGTAAAGAGAAATTTCGATAATGTTGTAATTTTATAAACGCAACATTTTGTAGCTTGTTTTCAATATATAATCCATTGGAAAAATAGGTAAGCATGTGGAATGATTACGAACGACAAGATTTGTTCAGAAAGAAAGTAGAAGGATTATGTATTTTTAATGCTACGTATACGTACGTTCACCGGCTTAGCAAAGCAATAAACAGTGAAACCGAGGTAAACGGTTGATATTTTCTGTTGGCATCAAGCCTCTGTCTAAAGGGGAAAACTGAGATGACAGGTTATAAAAAAATGGCTAACCATGTCTTAACAATGTTGTAATCAGTTTGTTTTCAGTTTTTTTTTCTAAAGCAACATAGCAGTCACTTATGAACTGCCTTAATTTTAACTTTCCGTGCCTGCAGTAAATCGAAAACGAGTTCGTAAACATCCATTTGTAATATGAATGATTCGTTCAATTCAACTGATAATCACGCAGCTACATTTGTAAGACGAAATTGCCAACCCGTGTAACGAGAGGTTATTCAGTTCTTGTCTTAAATCATTCCCTGATTGGCTGGCCGTGTTCAGTGTCGTTGTCAGGTGCAGACATTTAAGTCAATATGTAATTGGTTTCCTAGGGTGAGAAAAGCTGTTATTGTTTACGTAGTAAAGACTGTGACTGTTATTTGGCTTCATAAATATAATCAGAGATGCATTTCGAACTCGTCCTAAAACAATGGAAACAAAAAATTTATTGTAAATAAAATCTGTTAAGCATTAAGACGTTCAAGCGCATTCGCACGTTTTTCTTTCATTTTTTATCTTCCACTTTTTTCTAGACGTGATGTACGCTTGTATCCATGGCAGGAAGCCAGCGCTTTTCATCGAAATTTAATAACAGTTTTTGAATTCTAGTTAATAATATAGTTCTGAATGGGTTACCTCCAACTGATTCCTCGATAGAATTCCACCTTTCGTCAACGCAAGCCTATTTAAAATATTATCTCGCGAACACAAGCCTAGTCATTTAATGAATTATTTAGATGGACCCACAGGTGTTGCTTCTTTGAAAAAGTATCCTACACTTCACACGACAGATTTAAAAATTGAAGACGCTGTAGGTGTTGTTATCTGCACTTTAGTCATGATGCTCCGGATTGCAACGTCGCTGAATCCACGACCGCAACAAATCGGTCTAGCTGTAGTGATTAATATTTCTCTTTGCCACAACTAAAGGTAAATTGCCTTATTTATTTACTATTTCTTAGTTCTTCCTCCCCGAAAGAAAAAAGAACTTAGTATTAAATCATGACTATGTTATGCAGGACATTAACCGAATTTTGCGCGGATCTTTCCTGGCTAGGCATCAATATAAGTTGTCTCGTGCAGCGATATCTAACGCTGACTTTTATCATTTAATAAAGGGAAGGATATCCTATATTTACTTCTTTTGAAACGTTGATAAAATACCCCTCCAAAATCGACAGTACAGATCATTGTTTCACTCGGGAACAGGAAAAAAAGAGGTAATGGTTATTGTCTCGCAAATTTGTGGCCATATTTCACAGGTCACGCCATCAAAAACTAACTTAGATATGATTTCTCTCGTTACAAGGTTTCCATCGCCAGGATTCCTCTGCGGGTGTGTCTTACCTCAACTTCAAACCTGAAGCGTTTTCTTACTTAAATATTACAAGAATTGTTTCAGAACTTGTCCAAGATGGTAGCGAGTGCGAATTTGCCTGTTTGGAAATCACTTCGTGTTTTTCGTACAACCTGGCTGCATTTCCTGATAACTGGGGGAAACTGTTGTGTGAACTGCTTCCGTCCGCACAGGGAACCCAATGAACTTATCAGCAATCCCATATTCCATCATTTCAGTGAAACTGTTAGTGCAGTCTTGTTCCAGTTTAAGCTATATGTCCTTTCCCCCTTGAGTAAATCAATTGGGGCTGCTTCTGATAGGAAAGTGCGTGATTGAAAGTGTCATTTGACAGCTGTGATTTTGTACGATAACTTCAGTCAAGAGAATATAAACTGTAATTCTCTTGCCTCAGTGACACAGACCTCGTTATAGTGATGGTGGTCCCTTTGTTAGAGAGAAAACTTAGCATGTCAATCTTGAATATCTCAATTTTGTTAAAAACGAATTATGATATACAACTGAGCTATAAATGCATATAAAGCGGTTCTTACTTATGATCTATTAGAGGAAAGAGGCATAGACGTCTGCACCAATAACATTATTTGGATTCTTTATATATTTATATATCACAAGAAACCAGTCACCAGTTCACACTCCGTCACGCCTCGTGTGCCACTTTTTAATGCTTAACACTTTTGACGGCATCTGTGATCTCTTTTTAAAACAGACGTAGGGCAACATGGAATCTATTTGTTGTTTAACAAACAAGATAACAATTATTTTTCTATTTGTTGAAACAGACTCCTTGCTTCAGCGATCTATGCATGAGCAATGCAACTTGTGTGGTAACTTTTAGTTACCAAGAAAACGATTATCACTGCAGTATATGTCCACCATTTTACGACGGCAAAGACTGCAGTAAAGGTATCTCCTCCTCCGCGTCTTCCATCTCCATTCTTTTCTTTTCTACTCGTTTCCCATCTTTTCCTTATGTTTCTTGCTGTTACTCCTTAGTTAGTCTCCAGGCCGTAGTTGTTCGAAGCACGGATAACGGTATCCACCGGATAGATCATGTTTCTATCCGATTAATAGCGCAGTACGTTTTTTTAACACCTATTTACTGAATAACAATTTTGCCGTTGGGTAGCGTTATTAGCCCTTTGAATAACTGGGCACTACTGGTCGCGAAGGTTTCACTTTGGTTCCATAAAAATGAAAAAAAAAAAACCCCAGTGCTACATGTGAAAGAAAGACCTTTGCGAGGGGAGAATCCGAGTGCAGAAGGGGAGGGGGGGGGAGGGTTAGGTCAGTTTGCTCTGACCTTTTTTTCTGTTCCGTATTTTTTTAATTAAGCTAAGCAGAAGACTGACCGCAATTTATTTCCAACTAAAAAAATTTTTAACGCTTTTGCTATTCATTTTATTTAACCCGCGATTCTGTCAACCTCAATAACAAGAATCCCCAATGATTCCAACCTTCTGCTTACTGAAACCAGTTTTCGTTTCCTTTCTAGGCATTTCCCAATTGTTTTTTTCCTTGCTTTATAGAAACAGAATTTTCAGCACCTGAACAGTCAAAACGAACAGTATTCACGCTAATCCAACGCTAAATTATCAGTTTCAAGCATACACGTGTACACAAAACGCGTGCCAGTCCAGTCAAGTTAACCTATTTTACACTTTTTCTTCAGAGAATTTAAATGCTTAGATTAAAATTACCAAAATATTTCATTTTCATCTGACTACGCTTTACCAAAAGCAATTACCTTAACAAAATGAATTGATTAAAACCTTCAATGTTCGAAGAAATTTCAATGGTTCCTTAACTCCTAATAAGGTTCACTTCCGATAATACGAACCTTGTTCGAATTCAATTACCCTCGAAGATTCGAATTTTCCGAACTCAGCTGTAGTCATAAGTCATACTGATAAACCAACTTCTTTTACCCACATAAACTCTGGTATTGTTCCTTTTAATATTCAGGTCCATTTGTTGGACTTCATTGCCTGGACATTAAGGAACGAGGTTTTTCCCGGGATAATGGCATGTACTAGTTGGACCCGGATGGAGAAAACCATTCCAATGCATTTCAGGCCTATTGTGACATGACGTCACACAATGGAGGATGGACCATGTGTTACACTACCGATGAAAATGATGATCTGCTCTACAGGGACTTCCTGGTTTCTGCCCATACAGGGGGTTGTTTCATGACATGCACCAATTGGTACTCCGAAGTTAGCGCGTTATTTTTCTGCATTGCGTTCACTAATTCACATGGCCTGTAGGGTGGCATGGCATTTGGTGAAAATGGTCATGATGTCCATGATATAAGGCGTATCAGTATCGGATTACAATAAGGTTTCTCCTTTCTTGGTCCCATGGTGAACACTAAAGAAGATCTAAATATAACATGCAATTATTTCAAATCTTTTCTGGGCGTTCAATTAGTAAAAGTTTGCTTGTTGGTACTAGTCATTTCCTCTTGTTTCTTCTCTCCTTGACACCATTGTAAACGAAATGAACACTTGAGTCAGACCAAGTTATTTATCTTCACTGGTCATAATAATTGGGTTTAGAGACTCGTCGCTGCATGCGTTTCTTTTTTATATTACTTACTTTCGAAGTATAGAGGAACGGCCGTCGTCACATTTTATAACGTTAACCCTCAACTTCAAAATGTAGCGGTGATCAGCGTGTAATACCTCGATGAAAAACGAAAGGCTAAACACCGTGACTTAAACAAGTATTAAGATACAGTTATAATAATTATGGACTTCATGTGTTTGTACATATGTTAGTACGCCGCCACCACCTCTAAATGTAGAAGTAATGGTTATTGAACTTAGTGAAATGCAATTTTGTCTGAAATCATAGCTTGATTCAAATCACAAGAATGATTTCAGACCAAAATTGCAATAAACGAAGTTCAATTATCACTTTATCACATCTATTTTGAATCACAAACTTCAGTCGCTCAATAGAAGAATTTTTTTGGCTCTACAGGTATTTGATTGATCCAGTATAATGAGTTGGTTTGTAAAAAGTTGCAAAATTTGTCTCTCATTTTCCTATAATTTGATTGATTTCTTCAAACAAGCCTTGAGATTTGTTTGGTTGCTGTGTTTAAGTAAAGCTGTCTTATTGGCTGAGAAAAAGATGCGATTAAGAGCATAAAAATCTCTCTAATTCTCTCCTATAATCCTAGTAACATCTTGAAATGAACAAGGCAAGTTATAAATGTTTGAGCAAGTAATAGCTGATTTTAACGTTAAGCCTGAGGTTCATCGCCATTGTATAATGACAGCGGATATTTCTTCAACAACGAGGATGTTGTCGCCCTACGATAAGCCACTCTTTGTAGACCAGGCCATGATTGTTCGAAGGTTGGATAACGATATCCACTGCATAAAACTCTATCCGGTCGATAACGCTATACACTTTGCTATCACTTATCCGCTGGATAGCGATTTAACTGTTGGATAGCGTTATCTGCCTTTCATACAACTGGGCCAAGATGAATGACAACTTTCAATAGATATTACTTTTCCTAGTCAAGTCAAATAATGAAACTTCTGCACCTGGTGAACATTTGGAAAATGAAACTGTTTGACACGCTTCGTTTCATTTCTTTAGTCAATAGAAATTATTTTTTCTTGATAAGCAATGCTAACAAAATTAAGTGAAAGCAGTTATTCAAAAGTAATTTAACAAAGAAAATGGGAAAAACCCTCTTTGTCATTCTCTTCACGCTTTCAGCTCAACATACAGTCTTTTTTTGTTGTTTTTCTTTTTCATGGAAGCTTTATTTGAAACGGCGTCTACAAGTCTACATCTACGACGACTTCAGGCTTTGATGTCTACAGCTTCTTGTTAACAATGCAAGCCATGACTAAGAGGGCTACAAAATACATGTATGCTACCTCATTCTCTTCGCTTGTTTTAAAGTCCAGCTGATGTTATCGGCTGTTACTGGCGTAGGTTGGTCGTGATTGGTTTGTATGGATCCGTCGATAATGTTTGGTCGTGTTAATTGATTCGTTTTTTTAGCGTAAAATTTGTAAATAATCCGATCTGTATGGTGCCATACAAGTTATCTGCTGCACATTCACATTATAGTTAGTTGCTCTAGAAATTGACATTTTGAATGAATGGTAAGTATGTTATAGAAATAAAAAAATTGATCGATTTTTTCTTTAAGCAAAGCGACTCTATGAGTTAAGACAACTTATGGTCGTGATTGGCTTGTAAAGAAATTTAAACTTGGAGAATTTATCATTGAGATTAATTAATTAATTAATTTTTCGAAGTATAGCGACTCCATCAGTCATTTTAACTGATGAAATATCTCCACCTGATGGTAAACATTTCGAAAATAAAATTGACGCAAGCTTCATTTTACTTCTTGTCAATTCCAATTACTTTTTCTTGATAAGCAGTGTTTATCAAGTAACAGTAGTTCTTCAAATGCACCATGCTAAGCACAGACCAATTCTTTGATATATGACAAACTACCACCTCTTGTGGCGATTCAGTAGTCCGGAGATAACTTGTTTTAAAGTCCAGTTGATGTTATAGGCTGTTACTGGCGTAGGTCGGTCGTGATTGGCTAGTATATATCCGTCGACAATGTTTGGTCGTGTTAATTGGTCCGTTTTCTTAGTGCAAATGTTGTAAATAATCAAATCTGTATGGCACTGGTGGGTAACCTTATGAACCAAGCACAATTACAAACGATCATACAAGTTATCTGCTGCACATTCACATTATGGTCAGTTGCTCTAGTAATTTGAATTTTGAATGAATGGTTAGTATGTTATCGAAATATAAAATTGATTGATTTTTTTTTAAGCAAAGCGACACCTTGAATTGAGACAAGTGATGAAACTTCCGCACCCGGCGAACCTTTGGAAAATAAAACTGATACGAGCTTCGTTTTATTTCAATATTAAATAGAAATTACTTCCCTTGATAGGTAGTGCTAAAAATCAAGTTAAGCAGTTATTCAAAAGCAATTTAACAAAGAAAATGGCAAAAAACGCTATTTATTATTCTTTTTACACTTTCTGCTAGACATGAAGTTTTTTCTTTTTCATGGAAGCTCTATTTGAAACAGCGTTTACAAGTCTACATCAATCACACCGTTAGGCTTCGATGTCTACAGCTTCTTATTTAAAATGCAAGCCATGACTTAGAAAGCCACAATACACGCCTGCTACCTCATTCCCTTCCCTTCCCGTCAATTTACTCAGCGAAGACTGTACTGAAATTGGATATCTTTCAGCGCGCTAAATGTTAGACCAAATGGGCAAATATCTTAAAAAAACAATACTGGAACTCGAGTCTCGAGCACCTCTTTTGCTCCTCTCGTGCATGCGGCTCTCCAAATTTTCAGCACCATTTATAACTCGATACCCGCACGCTAAGCATGAGCTAATCACCTTAGGTCCATAGATAGATCAGCTCTTGTGCTGATTCAGCAGTCTGAATAGAACTTGTATTTAAGTTCAGTTTTTTTTCCACAAGGTTGTACATCGTGTTAAGTTGTGCAACGCAAAGATTCAATTTGGTCCACAACAACAGTTTAATTGTCTTATTGTGTCCTTTACTGCCTGTTTCACCTCCCTGATTTTACAGCAGTAAAGAATGGGGTTCAGAGATGAGTTTAAGAAAAGTAAACAAACGAAAAAGTAGGACACATTAGCGTCCAAAAAATGGGATGGAAATAAAGTAGCACAAAAAGGAGAGTAGCAAGCAAATAATCCAAGCTGTACCCATGTTATGGCGGAAACTGTTTTCTTGTATCGCGCTACATTCAATGCAGTCGGTACTACGCCATTGGGAGGAAGTTGTTGTCGTTGGTGAACATGGCCTTGTACATGAAGCAGTTGGTGACGGAGACGAAAATAGATTTTAGCGTGAGAGATGGCCGAGACAAGAAGAGAAATAAGCATCACAACAGCATATACAATGGCGGAAATATTTAAAGAAAAGATGAAGAGACACCCAACCAAAGCACCTATTAGAAACCAAAAGGAGATAATAAGCGCTCGCACCCGCCTTAATGTAACAACATGTCTGTATCTCAACAACGACAACGCGAGAAGTCTGTCCACACTTATAGCAGTTGATGTCAAGAGGGAGACTCCACAAAGAAATAGAGACGAGACCAACAGTATTAAAAAAACATATCGATGAACGTTGAAGCTGGTAAGAAGCGTTACTGTAAACAGCGGTTGTGTTATCAGTCCAACAGAAAGATCGGTGACCGCCAGACATCGAAACAAAAGTTTCGTCGGAGGACAAGTCGAAGTCACTTTGTTAACAGCAATTAGGATGAGAACATTGCCAACTGTCGCGGTGATGGAGAGAAAAGTGTTCAAGGATGCGAGTGCTGCAGACATCCCCACGAGTGACGCCGGATAACTGACTTCAAATGAGGAGTTTGTATGTTCATCAGTGGTGTTCAGCATTTTTCTCAAAGCCGGCAACAGAGAGTTTGTTCTCAGAAAGGCGAATGTTTGCTACTGTAAACCTTTCCTGTTTGACTGATTTTGATGGTGTACTGTGATCGTTCGGGTGAGAGTAGTTCTGAGAAGGACTGTTGTTGGTGATAGTGGCTCAGTGATGTTTCAAGCAATACATGTAGCAGAAAGTGAAGAGTTTTCGTCAGTCGATTTCCATAAGATTAGTTCTGTGTCAACTGATTGGTCAGTTTTACTCCGGTGTTATTAACCGTGAAACTTCAAAATGTTTAATCGTGTTGACCGGTTCCTTTGTTGTGTAAATATGTCGTGATTAGGTCGATTTGTAGGGCGCAGGTAGGTGACCATACAAATTATCTTGAATTCCCCTATCACTTTCAAGTGATACGGGCAGTCACATTTCTTATGTCCGAAATAAATGGATATAGTGCATTCATTTGAAAAGATCCTGTTTCTACCAGCTGAGGGATGAAATATGACGCAATTTGACTTTCAAATCAGTAAAAACATCGGTTCCATTTATCAGTTTTGCTAAATTTGTTCCTATTCTTATTTTTCACAGAATCTCTCCAATTCTCTCCTATAATCCTAGTAACATCTCGAAATGAACAGGGCAAGTTACAAATGATTATATATGTTTCAGCAAGAAATGGCTGATTTTAACGTTAAGCCTGTGGCTCATTGCCATTCTAGAGACAGCAGATATTCCTTCAATAATAGAATAAGTGTTAACATGATAACTTCGTATAGTCATCGGTGGTGTTTGGCATTGCTCTAACAGAAGTAGATAGTATTTAGTCAGTAAGGGAGATGTCTACCACTGCAAGTCTTCCTGCTCGTTGTCAGTCGAGTGTATTAATTCCAGTTTCTGTAAAGTGATTGGTCCATTTTGTCGTGATGGAATTGCCTGGTGAACATTTGGAAAATAAAACTGACGCCCGCTTCGTTTTATATCTTGTCAATTCAAATTAATCTGCCCTTCATAAGCAGTGCTTATCAGTGTAAGCAATTATTTATAAAAAAAAATTTTATAATGAAAATGGCGAAAAAATATCTTTAACGATCTTTTTACACACTTTCAGAGCAACACTTTTCCAAAGAAGTTAAAGGAGGCTTCATGGGGTTTTTGCTCAATGTTGGCGCGCGCGCCAGCGTAATGTTTCTCTAGAAAATGTTTATGTTTTCACTTTTCAAGGTCACTAAAAGCCATCAAAAGGCAATGAGTCAGGTTCGGACTATCGTTTACTGGAGTAAATATTATCAAAATGATTTTCGTTTTTAAGCCAAGGCTCCACGAAGGGAGGCGCTCGCCAGCTATAATTTGGCTTTGCCTTTGATTTTCTTCAATTTGCTTCGGTGAGATCTCTCAAAATGTTCACAGTTTTGTGAAGATTGTCCTGCCGATCATTTCTAAGCCGAAACCGAGTTTACATAAACGTTCGCTAAACATTATTTTCATGTCACATGCTCTAAGTTTGAATATTTTTGTCAAACGGAAGAAATCCTCCAGATCATCACAAGCGAAAGAGAAAAAAGAAACATGTCAAATAAAAATATCTATAAAAAACAGCCTAGTTTTCATTTACTATACCTTTAAAAGGGTCCGAGGGAGTGCATGTAGGCTTTTTTTGTATTTATATTTTATAGGTCATGGAATGTTCTTCCTTCACTACCAAATTGCTTCAGCGCTATCGAGTGATATTTATATGTTAATAAGGTTTGAACTGCTTGGTATCAATGTACTCTAAGACGTTTCCAGTTGGATGTAGGTGAGTTTTTAATTGTTCTGAGAGGAAAGACGAAATACGATTAGAGTGTCATGTTGTAGACCACAACTGCTTCTCCTTTCCCAAACTCGTTGGCTTTGCAGCTTTGCTAAGTAGCCGGTGAACAACAGTGTACAGCGGTGTTCAGTATCTTTATACCTGTTTGAACTAGAAAACAGTTTGGTGTAGGTTCCGTTTTAGCTGTTTTGGTTCTGCCGATTGTAGGAGAGTCTGTGACCCTATGGTGGCAGCAAATATTCCTTCACACAACATCAAAATGATCATTTAGGAAGATGTTGTCACCCAACGTATAGAGCCACTCTTTGTAGACCAGGAGAATAACAACTGTCACCTTGATACAGAGATCCTCTCTTGATCATGTGGCAATTCAGTAGTCAGAATATAACTTGTATTTAAGTCCAGCCGTTTTTTTCTTTCCACAGAGTTTTACATTGTTTTTTACTACACAAAGGTTCAATTTAGGTCACAACAACAGTTTAACTGTCGAACTGTGTCCTTTACTGCCTGTTTTACCTCCCTGATTTTCCAGCAGTAAAGAATAGGGTTTAGAGATGAGTTTAAGAATAGTAAACAAAGGAAAAAGTAAATTATATTCTTGCTAAAAATCTTTTCGAAATGTGATGAAATTAAAGCAATACAAATAGGAGAGTAACAAGCAAATAATCCAAGCTGTACCCATGCTATAATGGAAACCGTTTTCTTGTATCGCGCTAAATTCAATGCAGACGGTACATCGCCATTGGGAGGAAGATGTTCTCGTTGGTGAACATGGCCTTGTACATGAAGCAGTAGATGACGGAGACGGAAATAGATCTTAGTGTAAGAGATGGCCGAGATAAGAAGAGAAATAAGCATCACAACAGCATATACAAAAAAGTAAATTTCTAAAACGAAGAGACACCCAACCGAAGCACCAATTAGAAACCAAAAGGAGATAATAAGCGCTCGCACCCGCCTTAATGTAACAACGTATCTATACCTCAGACCCAATGACAACGCAAGAAGTCTGTCCACACTTATCGCAGTTGATGTCAAGAGGGAGACACCACAAAGAACTATAGATGAGATCACCTGTATCTCTTCAACGTATTCATAAACGTTGCTGCTGGCAAGAAGCATCACTGTAAACAGCGGTTGTGTTACTAGTCCAACACAAAGATCGGTGACCGCCAGACATCGAAACAAAAGTTTCGTTGGAGGACAAGTCGAAGTCACTTTGTTAAGAGCAATTAGGATGAGAACATTGCCAAGTGTCGCGGTGATGGAGGAAAAAGTGTTCAAGGATGCAAATGCTGCAGACATCCCCACAAGTGACGCTGGATACCTGACTTCAAATGAGGAGTTTGTATGTTCATCAGTGGTGTTCAGCATTTTTCTCAAAGCCGGCAACAGAGAGTTTGTTCTCAGAAAGGCAAATGTTTGCTACTGTAAACTGTTCCTGTTTGACTGGTTTTGATGGTGTACTGTGATCGTTCGGGTGAGAGTAGTTCTGAGAAGGACTGTTGTTGGTAATAGTGGCTCACTGATGTTTCAAGAACTGCACAAGCGGAAAGTGAAGAGTCTTCGTCAGTCGACTTCTACAAAACTAATTCTGTGTAAACTGATTGGTCAGATTCCTCTTGTGTTATTAGCTGCGAGACGTGTTGATCGGTTCCTTTGTTGTGTAAATATGTCGTGAGTAGGTCGATTTGTATGGCGCAGGTAGGTGACGTTATGGGCTTATGGACTAAGCACAATTATATACGACCATACAAATGGTCAGGTGATACGGGCAGTCATATTCCTTATGTCCAAAATAAATAGCTATGGAGCATTCATTTTAAAAGATCCTGTATCTACCAGCTGAGGGATAAAATATTTTGCAATTTGATCGGTTCCTTTGTTGTGTAAATATGTCGTGAGTAGGTCCATTTGTAAGACGCAGGTAGGTGACCTGATTTGCTAAGACGCAGGTAGGTGACCTGATTTGCTAAGCACAATTACAAACGACCATACAAATTATCTTGAATTCCCCTGTCACTTTCAAGCGACACGGGCAGTCATATTTCTTATGTCCGAAATAAATGGATATAGTGCATTCATTTTAAAAGATCCTGTTTCTACCAGCTGAGGGATGAAATATTTTGCAATTTGACTTTCAAATACAGTAAAAACATCGGTTACATTTATCAGTTTTGTTAAATTTGCTCCTCTTCTAATTTCCCAAAAAATATCTTTAATTCTCTCCTATAATCCTAGAAACATTTTGAAATGAACAGAACAAGTTATAAATGTTTCAGCAAGAAATAGCTGATTTTAGCATTAAGCCTGTGGCTCAATGCCAATAAGTATTAATATGATAACTTTGTATAGTTATCAGTGGTGTTGGGCATTACTCTAAAAGAAGCAGAGAGTGTTTTTGTCAGTAAGGGAGATGTTGACCACTGTGAGTGTTCCTGCTCGTTGTCAGTCGAGTGTAATAAGTCCAGTTCATGTAAAGTGATTGGTCAATTTTTACCAACACAATCAGCTGTTCTGTCTTATTCAGGCAACCTGATATTATAAACCGAGGACACCTCAAGTTTTGACGGGGACATTGTCGCCGTGACAGATCAATTGGTTTAACCTGGAAACCTGCTTTTCTTCTGTCCTTCATCGATTTTGGGCTTATCACCATCTACAAGAGAACTAAAAAGAAGGCTTCTCCACCGTTTTAGGTCTCACCGTAACCGTCTTTCAGATATCAATTATTCACCTCATTTCTACGAACTAGGATTTTTCTGAATAAAGGGAGTAAGTTTCTAAAGAAACGGTGGTGCTGCGTCGGTAGAGACTAACAAAGTAAGTTAGTATTATCAACTGAGACGTGAATTGGTCACCGTAAAGAGTTTCAAAGCTGACGTTTCGAGCGTTAGCCCCTCGTAATATCGACTGATTTCCCTGATACAATTTTTCTGAACAACTTTAATCCTTACATCATTTATGGAAATTAAATTAAATTTATTAAATTTGATGTACGTTAAGAATCGAACAACCTGACATGAGTAAGATGTAAGTATGGAAATTTCCACGGGAAAATCTTAGCAACACCGCAAAAAACCCCACTACAGTACCTTTCATTGCGATATCCTGTACTGCAATACCCTCCACTGCAATACCCTACACTGCAATACCTTATACTGCAGCCGTCAACTTCAGGACCATCTTTACCAGTTAAATAAGGAATTTTGCATGAAAGATTGACACACCTCAGCTCCTGTTTCTCAGGGTCCTATCCTTCGCATAAATTAATATCACGGTATGTGTCTGTCCAAGTATTGTCATTTTACCGGAGACTTTTATCATTGAAATGAAGAACCATAATTTTTTTTTCTCCAAAGGGTGCCTTGTATTCAAGCAATTAAGGTATACCTTCGTCGATGACAGGGAGATCAGTTCCTCTTACTCTAAACGTACCAGCTCCCATATTATCCTTATCTCTGGTTGCTTAACATTTACCTGAAAGCAATACTAAGTGCTGCCATTAGTGTGTCTCTCAGACCTTTAAAAGGCATATGGATTCTTCTGCGTAAAAGCGAAGTAAACGATCGGTAGAAAAACCAAGGTGTGGATAAATGAGCCAATAGTGTCTGTGACAATAAACATGCCAATTTTCTGCATTGATCCCAAGATGTCACCATTCTTGCCACTCGTGCGGCAATCAAACTGCAAACACCAATTGGTGAATACCTGAAACATACATAGAACACTCTTCTTTATTGAAAATTGCTTATTCCGTAAATTGACTCATCCAATGAGCGTTACATCGGAGCGCAATGTGTATAGTAAAATATCACGCATCGGTCCAAAGCTGCTTTATGCCAAGGTCCTTTTTATGTGATACACTGATCACCCAAACTGTCTACCTTGAAAATTTTATACGAGATCTGTAAGCTGCCATCAAATTATTTCCATAGTACCTTTTTGCCGGTCCCTTAGCTCTCACCTAATAAACACCAAGTTGGACGAGGGATATTTCCCAATATATGCTGGCACAAGGTGGAATTCTGACTAAACGTGCTTCGTTTCAACGAAATTCCGCAGAAATAAAATTCTGAGTTATGATCTTAAATGTCATGGTAGGAGATAATTAACTATATATTTTTAATCTGCTCAGATGTTGTTAGTGGCCACGTGATCCAATCACCACTAACAGGAATGCACTTCCTTCCACGTTATGCCCTCGATCCCAATCGTTTCCTCTTCGCTTTCTTCTCCGATTAGGTGATTAGCTTTTTATTTATTATGTACGACAAAATTGTTTGATCATTTGACTGTTTTTTTTTTCTCGTTATGTCTGTAGATAACAATCTGCGTCTGATCGAGTTTACCGATCTCCCTGAGGGAGCGAGGCCACACTTTACATCCAACACGTTCAATGAATCCCTTGACACACGGTCCACATTTGATAAGCGAAAGTCAAGTGAGCGCTTTACAACTTTTTTTTTAACCCTTTAACTCCCAGAAGTGATTGACATGTAACTTCTCCCCATAGTATTCATGCAATATCCTGCAAACAAGCATTGAGAAAACTCCAACTTATCAGGTAGAAGTTGTTATCTTGATCTACTACAAATTCTCACAACTGATTCACAAAGAGACGTGTAGCAGCTAAAGGGGAGAATTAACAATCAGATCTTGAGAGTTAAAGGATTTACTAAGTGTCACAACAACGGCCAATCAGAGCAAAGGTAAAATAAATTGCGATTGGTTTTGATTTGCACCTCATCCTGACTTCTGATGGTCGGTGAACTTATCGTTGAGATTAATTAATTAATTTTTCGAAGTATAGCGACTCCATCAATCGTTTTAACTGATGAAACATCTCAAACTGATGGTAAACATTTAGAAAATAAAATTGACGCACGCTTCATTTTACTTCTTGTCAATTCCAATTACTTTTTCTTGATAAGCAGTGTTTATCAAGTAACAGTAGTTCTTCGAATGCACCATGCTAAGCACAGACCAATTCTTTGATAAATGACAACTACCACCTCTTGTGACGATTCAGAAGTCCGGAGATAACTTGTTTTAAAGTCCAGCTGATGTTATCGGCTTTAACTGGCGTAGGTCAGTCGTGATTGCTTGGTATAGATCCGTCGATAATGTTTGGTAGCGTTAATGGGTCCGTTTTTTTTAGCGTAAATGTTGTAAATAATCCGATCTATATGGCGCCGGTAGGTGACCTTTTGAACGAAGCACAATAACAAACGAGCATACAAGTTATCTGCTGCACATTCACATTATGGTCAGTTTGCTCGAGTAATTGAAATTTGGAATGAATGGTTACTTGAGTATGTTATCGAAGTAAAAAAATTGATTGATTTTTTTTTAAGCAAAGCGACTCTATGAGTTGAGACAATTGATGAAACTTCCGCACCCGGCGAACCTTTCGAAAATAAAACTGACACACGCTTCGTTTTATTTCTGTAGTCGGGAAAAAGCTAAAACTCAAGTAGTGTAAGTGTTTAGTGATTGGTTAGCTGCAATCCATCGGTAAAGTTTGGTCGTGTTGATCGGATTCTTTGTTGTGTAAATGTCGTAAATGAGTCAATTTGTATGGCGCCTGTGGGTGCTCTTATGGGCTGAGCGTAATTGCAAATAGCTCTACAAAACATCTACTATTAGTCTGAATTTTTAATGGTTGCTGAGTTTATTTTTAAAATAACAAACAATTTTTTTTTGGCGAGTAATGCGACCCCATTAGTAAGTTCAATTGATGAAACTTCTCCACCCAGTGAACATTTGGAAAATAAAACTGACGCCGGCTTCGTTTTATTTCTTTTAAATTCAAATTAATGTGTTTATTACAAGCAGTGCTTATCAATGCAAGCAATTATTTATAAAAAAAATTTATATCGAAAATGGCGAAAAAAAACTTTAACGATCTTCTTACACACTTTCAGAGCAACACTTCTTCAAGGAAGTTTAAGAAGGCTTTATAGGGTTTTCACTCAATGTTGGCGCGCGCGCCAGCGTTATGTTTTTCTAGAAAACTTTTATGTTTTCGCTTTTCAAGGTCACTAAAAGCCATCAGAAGGCAATGAGTCAGGTTCGGACTATCGTTTACTGGAATAAATATTCTCAAAATGATTTTCGTTTTTAAGCTAAGGCTCCACGAAGGGAGGCGCTCGCCAGCTATAATTTGGCTTTGCCTTTGATTTTCTTCGATTTGCTTCGGTGAGATCTCTTAAAATTTTCACAGTTTTGTAAAGATTGTCCTGCTGATCATCTAAATCCGTAGAAAATAGAGAAATGGAGGTCACAAAAGTAGTTTCCTCCCTATTTGCAATTTTGTGTTTTCTTTCTCTATCTCAAATTTGGCCTTATGATTTTTCTTATCAACAGGCACTAGGAAGGCCACAAATATGTTTAACAGTCCAGCAAATGTTAGGAAATTCCACCCAAAGAAACGTGATAAATCTTATTCCAAAGATCCCTGTTTTCTTTGTCCAAAGTAGTACGTAATGGTATAGAACTTCGCTAAGATCAGTATCTGAGCATGCGTAGACTTTTGAGTCTGTCGCCCTCTGGCAATCTTTCCTTTCCATTGACCTCTTTTCAGTTGAGAAGGCCTAACAATATTACGGGTGCTTTTGTTGGAAACCCTAGATTCCATCGCATAAAGACTTTATTGTATTATATTGTTTTTAATACACATTTCCAGATAACAATCGTGGTATCGTATCGAGCCGCCATGTTTGCATGTTGACTCTTTTAAAGCTCGTCCTATGTTTGTACCCGGATCTCGCGCGGTCAAAAAATCCCCATGGAGCCTCCTAGTGACGTGTACAGCTCCTTGTTAATATGAATCATGAGCGCGCCCTTTTATAAAGCTATGTCATCCGTCAATATCGTTCAGTGCACCAAATGGTAGTGTAAATGGACAAATATCTTAAAAACAACAATGAGCGAAGTCAGCAGCCCGTCCATCAAAATTAGTATAAATACAAGAAACATTAAAGAATGTAGCGCAGGCAAACACCTATGACAGAGAACCGTTTCCAGGTAAACACCGCCTTACAATGGTGGAGGGTTTGTGAAACAGGCCGCAATTAGTGACAGAAGAGATCAACAGATTATGTTCATGCAATTTGACTTTGAATTTTTTGTAAACACTTAAGTTAGTTCTAGAATTCTGTTGAGTAGTTTGGTGTTAGCCTTATTAGATGAGGATGCAATTATTCTTTTAAGTTATATGGCAGTTATATTTCTTATGACCGCAATAAATGAAAAGTGCATTTATTGTAAAGGATCCTGTTTCTACCAGCTGAGGGATGGATCATTTTGCAATTTGACATTCAAATCTGGTGAAAACATCGGCCACATCTCAGTATCAGTTTTTGTTAAATTTATTCCTTCTCTAATTCTCTATATCTAAAGGTTACCCTGACGTAAAGGTATTTCAGTGTATTGACCGTAAAGTAAATACATGCATTTACGATCAAGAAAGGACAAAACGCGAACAAAGAACTTTTTCTCTTTTAGGCCATTAATTTGAAACTTTCAGCATGGCTTTTTCTTTATGAGAGATGTTATCATGTGATACAAGCTCGATTTGCCTAGACATGTGTCAATCATTTCTTGTTCAAGCTGCGTGCAGCTTCTAATTGATGAGACGAACAGATCGGTGGTGAATTTAATGGCCATCAATAATGGATCGCCGTTTCTTTTTCTCCTAGAAACATCTTACGATGAAGAAGGGAAGTTACGAAAGTTTCAGCAAAGAAAAACGGAAAAAATCGCTGATGAAGTGTCATTATTTGTTAAATTTGTTCTTTTATTGAGTTTACATAAACGTTCGCTAAACATTATTTTTATGTCACATGCTTCAAGTTTGAATATTTTTGTCAAACGGAAGAAATCCTCCAGATCGTCACAAGCGAAAGAGAAAAAAAGAGACATGTCAAACAAAAATATCTATAATAAACAGCCTAGTTTTCATTTACTATACATTTAAAAGGGTCCGAGGGAGTGCACGTAGGCTTTTTTTGTATACATAATTTATAGGTCATGGAATGTTCTTCCTTCACTGCCAAATTGCTTCAGCGCTATCGAGCTATATTTATATGTGAATAAGGTTTGAACTTCCTGGTATCAATGTACTCTAACACGTTTCCAGTTGGATGTAGGTGTGTTTCCAATTGTTCTGAAAGGAAAGACGAAATATGATTAGAGTGTCATGTCGTAGACCACAACTGGTTCTCCTTTCCAAAACTCGTTGGCTTTGCAGCTTTGCTCAGTAGCCGGTGAACAAAAGAGTTCAGCGGTGTTCAGTATCTTTATACCTGTTTGAACTAGAAAACAGGTTGGTGTAGGTTCCGTTTTAGCTTTTTTGGTCCCGCCGATTGTAGGAGAGCCTGTGGCTCAGTCGCACCCTATGGTGGCAGCAAATATTCCTTCACACGACATCAAAATGATCATTTAGGAGGATGTTGTCACCCAACGTATAGAGCCACTCTTTGTAGACCAGGGGAATAACAACTGTCACCTTGATACAGAGATCCTCTCTTAATCACGTGGCAATTCTGTCGTCAGAATAAAACTTGTATTTAGGTCCAGCCGTTTTTTTCTTTCCACAGAGTTTTATATTGTTTTTTACTACACAAAGGTTCAATTTAGCTCACAGCAACAGTTTAACTGTCTAATTATGTCCTTTACTGCCTGTTTCACCTCCCTGATTTTCCAGCAGTAAAGAATAGGGTTTAGAGATGAGTTTAAGTATAGTAAACAAACGAAAAAGTAAAATATATTATTATCGTCCAAAAACTCTTCTTCAAAATGGAATGAAACTATAGCAATACAAAAAGGAGAGTAACAAGCAAATAATCCAAGCTGTACCCATGCTATGATAGAAACCGTTTTCTTGTATCGCGCTAAATTTAATGCAGACGGTACTACGCCATTGGGAGGAAGTTGTTGTCGTTGGTGAACGTGGCCTTGTACATGAAGCAGTTGGTGACGGAGACGGAAATAGATCTTAGCGTAAGAGATGGCCGAGATAAGAAGAGAAATAAGCATCACAACAGCATATACAAAAAAGTGAATTCCTGAAATGAAGATACACACAACCGAAGCACCAATTAGAAACCAAAAGGAGATAATAAGCGCTCGCACCCGCCTTAATGTAACAAGGTATCTATACCTCAGACCCAACGACAACGCAAGAAGTCTGTCCACACTTATTGCAGTTGAGGTCAAGAGGGAGACACCGCAAAGAACTTGAGATGAGATCAACTGTGTTAAATCAACATAAACATATTCATTATCGTTGAGGCTGGCAAGAAGCTTCACTGTAAACAGCGGTTGTGTTACCAGTCCAACACAAAGATCGGTGACCGCCAGACATCGAAACAAAAGTTTCGTTGGAGGACAAATCGAAGTCACTTTGTTAAGAGCAATTAGGATGAGAATATTGCCCAGTATTGCGGTGATGGAGAAAAAAGTGTTCAAGGCTGCAAATGCTGCAGACATCCCCACAAGTAACGCCGGATGCCTGACTTCAAATGAGGAGTTTGTATGTTCATCAGTGGTGTTCAGCATTTTTCTCAAAGTCGGCAACAGAGAGTTTGTTCTTAGAAAGGCAAATGTTGGCTACTGTAAACTGTTCTTGTTTGACTGATTTTGATGGTGTACTGTGATCGTTCGGGTGAGAGTAGTTCTGAGAAGGACTGTTGTTGGTTATAATGGCTTAGCGATGTTTCGAGAACTGCACGTAACGGAAAGTGAAGAGTTTTCGTCAGTCGATCTCTACAAAACTAGTTTTGTGTAAACTGATTGGTCAGTTTTGCTTTGGTCTTATTAGCTGTGAGACTTCAAAATGTTTAATCGTGTTGACCGATTCCTTTGTTGTGTAAATATGTCGTGAGTAGGTCGATTTGTAAGGCGCAGGTGAGTGACGTTATGGGCTAAGCACAATTACTTACGACCTTACAAATTATCTTGAATTCCCCTAAAGCCTTGAATAGTTTGGTTTTGGCCTGCTCTGATGATGATGAAAATTCTCTTTCACTTTGTGATATGGGCAGTCATATTTCTTATGTCCAAAATAAATGGCCATAGAGCATTCATTTTAAAAGATCCTGTTTCTACCAGCTGAGGAATGAAGTATTTTGCTATTTAATTGGTTCCTTTGTTGTGTAAATATGTCGTGGGTAAATATTTTGCAATTTGACTTTCAAATACAGTAAAAACACCCTTTATATTTATCAGTTTTGTAAAATTGTTCCTCTTCTAATTTTCTTCAGAATCTCTCAAATTCTCTCCTACAATCCTAGTAACATCTTGAAATGATCAAGGCAAGTTATTAATGCTTCAGCAAGAAATGGTTGAATTAAAGTTTGAGGCTGTGGTTTACTGCCACTCTGCAGTGACGGAAAATATTCCTTTAACATCAAAATGATTAATTGGGAGGATGTTGTCGCCCAACTGTAAGCCACTCTTTGTAGACTAGTGGAATAACAACCGTCACCTTGATAGAGAGATTCTTTCTCGTGGCGTTTCAATGGCCTGAATATAAAACTTGTACACTAAAAAGTCATGAGCCCAGCTGTCCATCCCACAGAGTTTTGCATTGTTTTGTACAACACCTGGGTTTACTTTGGCTCACAACGGCAGTTTAACTGTCTAATTGTGTCCTTTACAGCTTGTTTCGCCTCCCCGATTTTCCAGCAGTAAAGAAAGGGGTTCAGAGATGAGTTTAAGTAAATTGACGTCATGAAAACTTGGATTTGTGAAAAAGAATCCAGTATGATAGTAAGATAGAAGACAAATATTCCGCGCTGTACTCATGCAATGGCGGAAACTGTGTTATTGTAACGTGCTATATTTAATTCAGTTGGCACGACGCCTCTACGAGCCGAATGTTCTTGGAAAATATTGCCTCGTACAAGCCGCATTTAGTGGCGGAGACGAACGTTGACCTTGCTGTAAGAATAGGCCGCAACGAACAGAAGAACTATGAATAAAAAAAAACAGCTGAAATAGGGCTAAAAAGGATGATAATGATAGAGTGAAAAATAGTTAGAAAGACCGATTAATGCCAGAAGCATGTTACGACTACTCGGATCCGCCTTGATGTAACAACCTGTCTGTATCTCAGACCCAACAACAGCGCAAGAAGTCTGTCCACACTTATTGCAGTTGATGTAATTGAGGGCTCCACATGAAGCAATAGTTGAAAGCAAAAATTTTTTAAGAGGAATATTCCGTAATTTCCTTCCATTTACCCGCGCAGCAGATTACCCGCATCGGTCAATTTTTGTAATAACGAGAAGAAAATTTCAACAGATTACCCGCACTGGCAGATAACCCGCACCCAAAAACAAAAGAAAATCGTCGACTCATACAAATTTTTCTAATTTTTTTTGTTGACATGATATCCTTTTAAGTGCAATTAATAAATTTTCACACTTTTTGTCTTCGCTGTTTCATTGAGAATGATACCGCTTATAAAAATATGTTCTCAAAAAAATTCGATATCTCGAAATCTACGAGTCGAAGAAATTGCTTGAAAGGGGAAAATACTCTTTAACTCAAGGCAGTGCTAGCTAAGAAAATTACACTGATGCGTCGAAAATTCTGTCGCGCCATCAATTAAGCAGCCCACGAATTGAACATGTCATAATATGTCAGCATCATTTTCCGTGTGAACTGCTTTGAAGCCAACTTTTTCACTATTAAATTCTTTTATTTTCATGTTCACTTCCCGTGTAAGTGAGAATTGTTTTTTGAAATTGAAAGGCAAGAAAGTAAGAGTACAAACAGGATAAAAGCTTTGTTATCGAGTTTTGTATGTTTTCGATTTGCATTGGCTTTCATCGAGAGCATTAAAGTCTCTTATTATAACGAGCAATCTGCTGAAATAAATGAATTAATTCACAGGTTTTTTGAAGAGTATCTTTGGTGGATCTTATCATCTCTGTTTTTTTCCTGCTTATAGTTTTAAAACTATACCGGAAGCTTTAAAAATTATCGTATTAGTCGCACCTTCCTAGAACCCGCACCAACAACTGTTTGTGGAATAATTAACAGATTACCCGCAGGTAATTGGCCGGAAATTACGGTAATAACGGATTATCTCGCCTAGGTGCTCTATTCCTTCGCCAATGAGCTTCAATGAGCTTCACTGTAAACAGACGTTAGCATGTCGTCTGTTTACCACCTTTCCGTGTTTCGGTTTCACCTTAAAGCCACTTTTCCGGGCACAGCCGCCTAGTAAGGGCCTGTTTACATGGAGGTGGGGGATGGTCGAACAATAAAACGCGTTTACATGCAATCTTACAACCCCGGGGTGCTGGAGTGAGGTTTCTTGAGGTTGTTGTTGCGCTTGCAGTTATGGAGTTTGAGCAGAGGTGTCCCAAGCTTACATCTCGAAAAAGACGAAAGATTAATTCTCGGACACATATGTATTTATTCATGAAAGCGTCACGCGTTGTGTTACGCGGTGTTTGGTTTCGCGAGGAACCGTTGACTTAATGCGTCATACGGAATAGTTTGGGAAACCAAATATGGTCGATTTACAACGCTAAATATTCCGTAGTGTGAACACTTTACACTCGTTGTGCGTCCGTTGCGGTTTCTGGTGATTTCTGCCATGAGACGGCTAGGAAATGTACAAAGTTTTAAAACATATATGTTTCGCTTTTGAACTTTTTGCCATGAACACACCCCGACTAGGCAGGTTACCCCACCTTGACACGTTTACATGCACGGCAAATTGTCACCCCGGCTGACAGGGTTGGTCTGCGAAATGTTCAGAGAGTAAGGCATGTAGCATAATACTTATCCACTTATCCACTATATGAATTTAAGTATGTTCAGAAATGGCTTCTCCACGTTGGTTGAGCTCGTAATGTCAGCCAAACTCCAGGTGATCCCACGTTTAGGATGCATAAATTTGCGAATAAAAGGTCATGATGTCCATGATAAAAGGCGCACCAGAGTTGGCTTACAATAAAAGACAGCTTTAACTTGAAACTTGAAACTGCATGGTAATTGTATCTTTTCGCTTAATGTAACTCAGTATGTATATATTACTAACACACGCCAAGATTTGCCCATCCTACACCTATGCGCAGATTGCATAAATGTGGTGGAGTCTGTGAACTGTCTAATTGTGTCCTTTACTGCTTTTTTCACTTCCCTGATTTTCCAGCAGTAAAGAAAGGGGTTCAGAGATGAGTTTAAGTAAAATAAGGAACGAAGAAAGAAAAAAACTGGACCTTCCCAAAACTCTCCAAAATACATCGAAGTCAAATGCACACCAAACGGCAAATAGCACACAAATAATCCAAGCTGTACCCATGCTATAGCAGAAACTTCATTCATTCATATAGCAGAAACTGTTTTCTTGTATCGTACTACATTCAATTGAGTCGGTAAAACACCGTTGGGAGACAGTTGTTGGTGGTGAACATGGCCCTGTACATGAAGCAGTTGAGGCGGAGACGGAAAAAGATATTGGCGTAAACAATGACCGAGATAATAAGAGAAATAAGAATCAAAACAGCCTGTCCAAGAAACAAAACAAATAAAATGAGGCCGAATCCAACTAAAGCACCAACTAGAAGCCAAAGGAAGATAATGAGCGCTTGCACCCGCCTTAATGTAACAACCCGTTTGTATCTCAGACCCATCGACAGCGCTGTCCACACTTATTGCTGTTGATGTCAAGACGGAGACTCCACAAAGAAAAAAACTAGATACTTCTCGTATAAAATAAGTGATTTCAAAGAGTTTTTCGCTGAAGTACATTATTTCTTCGCGAAGAAGCGTCACTGTAAACAGTGGTTGTGTTATCACTCCAACAAAAAGATCGGTGACTGCCAAACATTGAAACAAAAGTTTCGTTGGAGGATAAATCGAAGTCACTTTGTGTAGAGCAAGAAGGATTAGAACGTTGCCCAATGACGCAGTCATAGACAAAACAACGTTCAAGAATGTAAATGCCATAGACATTCCAAATCTCCCACCTGACAGATGACCTACTTCAAATGAGAAGTTTGTATAGTCATCGGTTGTGTTGAGCATTTCTCTTACGGCAGCAGAGAATATTTTTGTCGGTAAGGGAGATGTTGACCACTGTAAATGTTCCTGCTGGTTGTAAGTCCAGTGTAATAAGTCCAATTTGTGTAAAGTGATTGGTTTATTTTGCCTGAGAAACTCAAGTAGCGTAAGTGGGTAGTGATTGGCTAGCTGCAATCCATCGGTAAAGTTTAGTCGTGTTGATCGGTTTGTTTGTTGCGTAAATGTCGTAAATAAGTCAATTTGTATGGCGCCTGTAGGTGCTCTTATGGGCTAAGCGTAATTGCAAATGGCTCTACTTAACATCTGCTATTAGTCAAAATTTTGAATGGTTGCTTAGTTTATTTTTGAGATAACAAATAAATTTTTTTGGCAATTAATGCGACTCATTAGTAAGTTTAACTGATGAAACTTCTTCACCTGGTGAACATTTGGAAAATAAAACTGACGCCCGGTTCGTTTTATATCTTGTAGATTCAAATTAATTTGTTCTTTATAATCGGTGCTTCTCAGTGTAAGCAATTATTTATAAAAAATATTTTATGACGGAAATAGCGTTAGAGGATAAATCGAGGTCATTTCGTGCGGAGCAAGAAGAATTAGAACGTTGCCCAAAAGAAAATAGAACTGACGCCCGCTTCATTTTATATCTTGCCAATTCAAATTAATTTGTTCTTTATAAGCAGTGCTTATCAGTGTAAGCAATTATTTATAAAAAATATTTTATGACGAAAGTGGCGAAAAAAAAAACATTAACGATCTTTTTCGACACTTTCAGAGCAACACTTTTCCAAGGAAGTTTAAGGAGGCTTCATAAGGTTTTTGCTCAATGTTGGCGCGCGCGTCAGCGTTATGTTTTTCTAGAAAATTTCGATGTTTTCGCTTTTCAAGGTCACTAAAAGCCATCAAAAGGCAATGAGTCAGGTTCGGACTATCGTTTACTGTAGTAAACATTATCAAAATGATTTTCGTTTTTAAGTTGAGGCTCCACGAAGGGAGGCGCTCGCCAGCTATAATTTGGCTTTGCCTTTGATTTTCTTCAATTTGCTTCGGTGAGATCTCTCAAAATTTTCACAGTTTTGTGAAGATTTTCCTGCTGATCATTTATGAGCCGAAAAAAATAGGGGTCACAAAAGTAGTTTCCTCCTTATTTGCAATTTTGTGTTTTCTTTCTCTATCTCAAATTTGGTCTTACTCTTTTTTATCAACAGGCATTAGGAAGGGCACGAATATGTTTAACGGTCCAAAAAATCTTAGGAAATTCCACCCAAGGAAGCGCGATAAATCTTATTCCAAAGATCCCTATTTTCTTCGTCCAAAATATTACGTAATGGTATAGAGCTTCGCTAAGATCAGTATCTGGGCATGCGTAGACTTTTAAATCTGTCGCCTTCTGGCAATCTTTCCTACTGTGTTTTCTTTTCCGTTGACCTCTTTTCAGGCGTAGAAGGCCTAAGAATATTACGAGTGCTTTTGCTGGAAACCCTAGATTTCATTGCATAAAGACTTTATTGTATTATACTGTTTTTAGTACACCTTTTCAGATAACAATCGTGCTATCGCATCGAGCCGCCATGTTTGTTTTGCATGTTGACACCGTTTAAAGCTCGTGCTATGTTTGCATTCAGATCTCGCGCGGTCAAAAACCCTATGGAGCCTCCTTGGGACGTGTACAGCTCCTTGTTGCACGCTGCACTCTAACCATTTCTTTTATAACATTGAGACTTTCAACATCTTTTGTTTCGTTTAGGAAATCAAACTGACGTTAGCATGCAGCCCACAGGCAAATCGTTAAATCGTATCAACCAGCCAGAGCGCACGCTTTTATAAAGCTAAGCAATCAGTCAATATCGTTCAGCGCACCAAATGGTAGTCTAAATGGACAAATATCTTAAAAAAACACTGAGTGAAGTCAGCAGCCCGTCCATCAAAATTAGTATAAATACAAGAAACATTAAGAACGTAGCGCAACCAAACGCCTACGACAGAGAACCCGGCATTTCCAAGTAAACAACTTTTTATCTTTTGGACCATTAATTTGAAATTTTCAGCATGGCTTTTTCTTTATGAGAGATGTTATCATGAGATACAAGCTCGATCTGCCTAGACATGTGTCAATCATTTCTTGTTCAAGTAGCGTGCAGCTTCTAATTGATGAGACGAAAAGATCGGTGGTGAATTTAATGGGCATCAATAATCGGACGGCCGTTTCTTTTTTCTCCTAGAAACATCTTACGATGAAGAAGGGAAGTTTGGAAACTTTTAGCTAAGAAAAACGGAAAAAATCGCTGATGAAGTGTCATTATTTGTTAAATTTATTCTTTTATTGAGTTTACATAAACCTTCGCTAAACATTATTTTCATGTCACATGCTCTAAGTTTGAATATTTTTGTCAAAAGGAAGAAATCCTCCAGATCATCACAAGCGAAAGAGAAAAAAAAATGTCAAATAAAAATATCTATAATAAACAACCCAGTTTTCATTTACTATACCTTTCAAAAACTCATTTTATCACCTATCAAATGGTAGATAATACATCACGTGCAGTGACTTAATATCAATAAACCTCATCCTTATTAGTATGCGGTGTTTTATCAGATATAAAGACACTGCACGTGACTTATGAATATTAATTAATTATCAACACAGAAACTGACACAACAAATGGTGGAAACATATTTAATGTTCTTTCAACAAATTTCACACAGTAAATTTACTTTTGCACCAAATTAATAGTACAGTTGTGAAATACACATCTGGAAAAATTCTCTATTCCATTAGTACAGTAATCTGGCAAAGGCATATTAGACAATACATCATCTGAAACTTCGAATTCAAGATCAGTTGGCAGAAGTATGCTAATTTCTAACGTTCACAAAAGCATAATTGTTATGAACTCTCTTGACACACGCTTTTCCAAGAATGTTTTTGAAGCCGTTCAAAAAACTCGCAGCACGTGTTTTATCGGGTCAAAAACCACTCCTGCTCGTTTTTTAAACATTACTTAAAAGGGTCCGAGGTAAAGCTGTGCATGTAGGCTTTCTTTGTATATATATTTTATAGTTCATAAAATGTTCTTCCTTCACTGCCAAATTGTTTCAGCGCTATCGAGTGATATTTATATGTGAATAAGGTTTGAACTGCCTGGTATCAATGTACTCTAATACGTTTCCAGTTGGATGAAGGTGAGTTTTCAATTGTTCTGGGAGGAAAGACGAAATATGATTAGAGTGTCATGTAGTAGACCACAACTGGTTCTCCTTTCCCAAACTCGTTGGCTTTGCAGCTTTGCTCAGTAGCCGGTGAACTACAGAGTACAGCGGTGTTCAGTATCTATACCTGTTTGAACTAAAAAACAGGTTGGTGCAGGTTCCGTTTTAGCTTTTTTGGTCCCGTCGATTGTAGGAGAACCTGTGGCTCAGTCGCACCCTATGGTGGCCGCAAATATTCCTTAACACAACATCAAAATCATTTAGGAAGATGTTGTCACCCAACTTATAGAGCCACTCTTTGTAGACCAGGGGAATAACAACTATCACCTTGATACAGAGATTCTCTCTTGATCACGTAGCAATTCAGTAGTCAGAATATAACTTGTATTTAAGTCCAGCCGTTTTTTTTCCCACAGAGTTTTACATTGTTTTTCATAACACAAAGGTTCAATTTAGCTCACAGCAACAGTTTAACTGTCTAATTATGTCCTTTACTGCCTGTTTCACCTCCCTAATTTTCCAGCAGTAAAGAATGGGGTTCAGAGATGAGTTTAAGAATAGTAAACAAAGGAAAAAGTAAATTATATTATCGTCCAAAAACTCTACAAAATGGGATGAAACTAAAGTAATACAAAGAGGAGAGTAGCAGGCAAATAATCCAAGCTGTACCCATGCTATGAAGGAAACCGTTTTCTTGTATCGCGCTACATTCAATGCAGTCGGTACTACGCCATTGGGAGGAAGTTGTTGTCGTTGGTGAACATGGCCTTGTACATGAAGCAGTTGGTGACGGAGACGGAAATAGATCTTAGCGTAAGAGATGGCCGAGATAAGAAGAGAAATAAGCATCATAACAGCATATACAAAAAAGTTAATTCCTGAAATGAAGATACACCCAACCGAAGCACCAATTAGAAACCAAAAGGAGATAATAAGCGCTCGTACCCGCCTTAATGTAACAAGGTATCTATACCTCAGACCCAACGACAACGCAAGAAGTCTGTCCACACTTATTACAGTTGAGGTCAAGAGGGAGACACCACAAAGAACTTGAGATGAGATCACCTGTGTTAAACCAACATAAACATATTCATTATCGTTTAAGCTGGCAAGAAGCTTCACTGTAAACAGCGGTTGTGTTACCAGTCCAACACAAAGATCGGTGACCGCCAGACATCGAAACAAAAGTTTCGTTGGAGGACAAATCGAAGTCACTTTGTTAAGAGCAATTAGGATGAGAATATTGCCCAGTATTGCGGTGATGGAGAAAAAAGTGTTCAAGGCTGCAAATGCTGCAGACTTCCCCACAAGTGACACCGGATACCTGACTTCAAATGAGGAGTTTGTATGTTCATCAGTGGTGTTCAGCATTTTTCTCAAAGTCGGCAACAGAGAGTTTGTTCTTAGAAAGGCAAATGTTGGCTACTGTAAACTGTTCCTGTTTGACTGATTTTGATGGTGTACTGTGATAGTTCGGGTGAGAGTAGTTCTGAGAAGAACTGTTGTTGGTTATAGTGGCTCAGTGATGTTTCGAGAACTGCACGTAACGGAAAGTGAAGAGTTTTCGTCAGTCGATGTCTACAAAACTAGTTTTGTGTAAACTGATTGGTCAGTTTTGCTTTGGTCTTATTAGCTGTGAGACTTCAAAATGTTTAATCGTGTTGTTCCTTTGTTGTGTAATATATCGTGAGTAGGTCGATTTGTAAGGCGCAGTTGGGTGACGTTATGGGCTAAGCACAATTACTTACGACCACACAAATTATCTTGAATTCCCCCAAAGCCTTGAATAGTTTGGTTTTGGCCTGCTCTGATGATGATGAAAATTCTCTTTCACTTTGTGATACGGGCAGTCATATTTCTTATGTCCAAAATAAATGGCCATAGAGCATTCATTTTAAAAGATCCTGTTTCTACCAGCTGAGGAATGAAGTATTTTGCAATTTAATTGGTTCCTTTGTTGTGTAAATATGTCGTGGGTAAATATGTTGCAATTTGACTTTCAAATATAGTAAAAACACCCGTTATATTTATCAGTTTTTTTAAATTTGTTCCTCTTCTAATTTTCTTCAGAATCTCTCAAATTCTCTCCTACAATCCTAGTAACATCTTGAAATGATCAAGGCAAGTTATTAATGCTTCAGCAAGAAATGGTTGAATTAAAGTTTGAGGCTGTGGTTTACTGCCACTCTGTAGTGACGGAAAATATTCCTTTAACATCATAATGATCAGTTGGGAGGATGTTGTCGCCCAACTGTAAGCCATTCTTTGTAGACTAGTGGAATAACAACCGCCACCTTGATAGAGAGATTCTTTCTCGTGGCGTTTCAATGGCCTGAATATAAAACTTGTACACTAAAAAGTCATGAGTTCAGCTGTCCATCCCACAGAGTTTTGCGTTTTTTTGTACAACACCTGGGTTTAGTGTGGCTCACAATGGCAGTTTACTGTCTAATTGTGTCCTTTACAGCTTGTTTCGCCTCCCTGATTTTCCAGCAGTAAAGAAAGGGGTTGAGAGATTAGTTTAAGTAAATTGACGTCATGAAAACTTGGATTTGTGAAAAAGAATCCAGTATGATAGTAAGATAGAAGACAAATATTCCGAGCTGTACTCATGCAATGGCGGAAACTGTGTTCTTGTAACGTGCTATATTTAATTCAGTTGGCACGACGCCTCTACGAGCCGAATGTTCTTGGAAAATATTGCCTCGTACAAGCCGCATTTAGTGGCTGAGACGAACGTTGACCTTGCTGTAAGAATAGGCCGCAACGAACAGAAGAACTATGGATAAACAGAACAGCTGAAATAGGGCTAAAAAGGATGATAATGATAGAGTGAAAAATAGTTAGAAAGACCGATTAATGCCAGAAGCATGTTATGACTACTCGGATCCGCCTTGATGTAACAACCTGTCTGTATCTCAGACCCAACAACAGCGCAAGAAGTCTGTCCACACTTATTGCAGTTGATGTAATTGAGGGCTCCACATGAAGCAATAGTTGAAAGAAAAAAATTTTTTAAGAGGAATATTCCGTAATTTCCGTCCATTTACCCGCGCGGCAGATTACCCGCATCGGTCAATTTTTGTAAGAACGAGAAGAAAATTTTAACAGAGTACCCGCACTGGCAGATAACCCGCACCCAAAAACAAAAGAAAATCGTCGACTCATACAAATTTTCCTAATTTTTTTTTGTTGACATGATATCCTTTTACGTGCAATTAATAAATTTTCACACTTTTTGTCTTCGCTGTTTCATTGAGAATGAAACCACTTATAAAAATATGTTCTCAAAAAAAATCGATATCTCGAAATCTACGAGTCGAAGAAATTGCTTGAAAGGGGAAAATACTCTTTAACTCAAGGCAGTGCTAGCTAAGAAAATTACACTGATGCGTCGAAAATTCTGTCGCGCCATCAATTAAGCAGTTCACGAATTGAACATGTCATAATATGTCAGCATCATTTTCCGTGTGAACTGCTTTGAAGCCAACTTTTTCACTATTAAATTCTTCTATTTTCATGTTCACTTCCCGTGTAAGTGAGAATTGTTTTTTGAAATTGAAAGGCAAGAAAGTAAGAGTACAAACAGGATGAAAGCTTTGTTATCGAGTTTTGTATGTTTTCGATTTGCATTAGCTTTCATCGAGAGCATTAAAGTCTCTTATTATAACGAGCAATCTGCTGAAATAAATGAATTAATTCACAGGTTTTTTGAAGAGTATCTTTGGTGGATCTTATCATCTCTGTTTTTTTCCTAACGTTAATAACGGATTATCTCGCCTAGGTGCTCTATTCCTTCGCCAATGAGCTTCAATGAGCTTCACTGTAAACAGACGTTAGCATGTCGTCTGTTTACCACCTTTCCGTGTTTCGGTTTCACCTTACAGCCACTTTTCCGGGCACAGCCGCCTAGTAAGGGCCTTTTACATGGAGGTGGGAGTTGGTCGAACAATAAAACGCTTTTACATGCAATCTTACAACCCCGGGGTGCTGGAGTGAGGTTTCTTGAGGTTGTTGTTGCGCTTGCAGTTATAGAGTTTAAGCAGAGGCGTCCCAAGCTTACATCTCGAAAAAGACGAAATATTAATTCTCGGACACATATGTATTTATTCATGAAAGCGTCACGCGTTGTGTTAAGCGGTGTTTGGTTTCGCGAGGAACCGTTGACTTAATGCGTTATACGGAATAGTTTGGGAAACCAAATATGGTCGATTTACAACGCTAAATATTCCGTAGTGTGAACACTTTACACTCGTTGTGCGTCCGTTGCGGTTTCTGGTGATTTCTGCCATGAGACGGCTAGGAAATGTACAAAGTTTTAAAACATACATGTTTCGCTTTTGAACTTTTTGCCATGAACACACCCCGACTAGGCAGGTTACCCCACCTTGACACGTTTACATGCATGGCAAATTGTCAACCCGGCTGACAGGGTTGGTCTGCGAAATGTTCAGAGAGTAAAGCATGTAGCATAATACTTATCCACTTATCCACTATATGAATTTAAGTATGTTCTGAGATGGCTTCTCCACGTTGGTTGAGCTCGTAATGTCAGCCAAACTCCAGGTGATCCCACGTTTAGGATGCATAAGGTCATGATGTCCATGATAAAAGACGCACCAGAGTTGGCTTACAATAAAAGACAGCTTTAACTTGAAACTTGAAACTGCATGGTAATTGTATCTTTTCGCTTAATGTAACTCAGGATGTATATATTACTAACACACGCCAAGATTTGCCCATCCTACACCTATGCGCAGATTGCATAAATGTGATGGAGTCTGTGAGGCAATACAGTAAAGGAAGATGTAGTATTAGTGGTTGAAGCAATTTACATATTGAGTTAGTAGAATCTGTGTCGTAATATAGTAGAGGAAGATGTAGTAGTAGTAGTTGAAGCAATTTACACGCTGATTTAGTAGAATCTGTGTCACTATAAAATAAAGGAAGTGTAACATCCCTCTGTCATTAACCAACCAAGGTCACAAGAAAAGACAGAGGGCTTCATCTTAAAATGACACCAGACTCTCTTTAGAGAATGTTTCACAAGTAGTAATGTAAAGAGAAATTTCGGTAATGTTGTAATTTTATAAACGCAACATTTTGTAGCTTGTTTTCAATATATAATCCATTGGAAAAATAGGTAAGCATGTGGAATGATTACGAACGACAAGATTTGTTCAGAAAGAAAGTAGAAGGATTACGTATTTTTAATGCTACGTATACGTACGTTCATCGGCTTAGCAAAGCAATAAACAGTGAAACCGAGGTAAACAGTTGACGTTTTCTGTTGGCATCAAGCCTCTGTCTAAAGGGGAAAACTGAGATGACAGGTTATAAAAAAATGGCTAATCATGTCTTAACAATGTTGTAATCAGTTTGTTTTCAGTTTTTTTTCTAAAGCAACATTGCAGTCCCTTATGAACAGTCTTGATTTGAACTTTCCGTGTCTGCAGTAAATCGAAAACGAGTTCGTAAACATCCATTTGTAATATGAATGATTCGTTCAATTCAACTGATAATCACGCAGTTACATTTGTAGGACGAAATTGCCAACCCGCGTAACGAAAGGTTATTCAGTTCCTGTCTTAAATCATTCTCTGATTGGCTGCCGCGTTCAGTGTCGTTGTCAGGTGCAGATATTTAAGTCAATATGTAATTGGTTTCCTAGGGTGAGAAAAGCTGTTATTGTTTACGTAGTAAAGACTGTGACTGTTATGTGGCTTCATAAATATAATCAGAGATGCATTTCGAACTCGTCCTAAAACAATGGAAACAAAAGATGTGTTGTAAATAAAATCTTTTAACCACTAAGACGTTCAAGCGCAATCACACGTTTTCTTTCATTTTTTATCTTTCACTTTTTTCTGGACGTGTTGTACGCTTGTATCCATGGCAGGAAGCCAGCACTTTTCATCGAAATTTGATAACAGTTTTTGAATTCTAGTTAATAATATGGTTCAGAATGGGTTACCTCCAACTGATTCCTCGATAGAATTCCACCTTTCGTGAACGCAAGTCTATTTAAAATATTATTTCGCGAACACAGGCCAAGTCATTTAATGAATTATTTAGATGGACCCACAGGTGTTGTTTCTTTGAAAAAGTATCCTACACTTCACACGACAGATTTAAAAATTGAAGACGCTGAAGGTGTTGTTATCTGCACTTTAGTCATGATGCTCCGGATTGCAACGTCGCTGAATCCACGACCTCAACAAATCGGTCTAGCTGTAGTGATTAGTATTTCTCTTTGCCAAAACTAAAGGTAAATTGCCTTACTTATTTACTATTTCTTAGTTCTTCCTCCCCAAAAGAAAAAAGAACTTAGCATTAAATCATGACCATGTTATGCAGGACATTAACCGAATTTTGCGTGGATCTTTTCTGGCTAGGCATCAAAATACGTTGTCTCGTGCAGCGATATCTAACGCTGACTTTTACCATGTAATAAAGGGAAGGATATCCTATACATATTTACTTCCTTTGAAACGCTGATAAAATACCCCTCCAAAATCGACAGTACAGATCATTGTTTCTCTCGGGAGCAGGAAAAAGAGAGGTAATGGTTATTGTCTCGCAAATTTGTAGCCAAATCTCACAGGTCACGCCATCATTTTTCGGCTACGTATCTCTTTTCACTTCGAACCAGAGTCAATCCTTTCTTTCGCCGGTGAAACCAGAGTTAAAGAGCGAGATCGAGTCGAGTAAACTGATTCTTTGGTCGGCATTGAACCGGAGGCTGACAATGTTATGATACAAATTAACCTTATTTGTTCAATATGTAAACTGCTGTGTTATCATGTCGACAAGTTTCCTGTTTTTATAATAACGGGGCCGCCCTCAGCCACTCTTCCGTGCAAAACTAACTTAGATATGATGTCTCTCGTTATAAGGTTTCCATCGCCAGGATTCCTCTGCCGTTGTGTCTTACATCAACTTCAAGCCTGAAGCGTTTTCTTACTTAAATATTACAAGAATTGTTTCAGAACTTATCCAAGATGGTAGCGAGTGTGAATTTGCCTGTTTGGAAATCACTTCGTGTTTTTCGTACAACCTGGCTGCATTTCCTGATAATGGGGGAAACTGTTGTGTGAACTGCTCCCGTCCGCACAGGGAACCCAATTAACTTATCAGCAATCCCATATTCCATCATTTCAGTGAAACTGTAAATGCAATCTTGTTTCAGTTTAAGCTTTATGTCCCCTCCTCCTTGAGTAAATCAATTGGGGCTGCTGCTGATAGGAAAGTGCGTGATTAAAAGTATCATTTGACAGCTGTGATTTTGTATGATAACTTCAGTCAAGAGAATATAAACTGTAATTCTCTTGCCTCAGTGACATAGACCTCGTTATAGTAATGGTGGTCCCTTTGTTAGAGAGAAAACTTAGCATGTCAATCTTGAATATCTCAATTTTGTTAAAAACGAATTATGATATACAACTGAGCTATAAATGCATATAAAGCGGTTCTTACTTATGATGATCTATTAGAAGACAGAGGCACAAACGTCTGCACCAATAACATTATTTGGATTCTTTATATATTTATATATCACAAGAAACCAGTCACCAGTTCACACTCCGTCACGCCTTGTGTGCCACTTTTTAATGCTTAACACTTTTGAGTGGAAGCCTAAGCCTTAGTGAAAGACTATATTGAAACTTGATATCATTCAGCGCGTTAAATGTTAGACCAAATAGACAAGTATCTTAAAACTATCACGGGAAGAAGCTAGAGTTGCTTTCGGCTTCGCCTCGAGCAACTCTTGCGCCACTCTCGTGCATGCGGCTCTCCAAATTTTCAGTATCCATTCATAACTCGATACGCGCACGCTAATCATGAGTTAATCACCTTAGGTCCATAGATAGATCAGTTCCTGCGCCGATTCAGCAGTCTGAATAGAACTTGTATTTAAGTTCAGTTTTATTTCCACAAGGTTTTACATCGTGTTAAGTTGTGCAACGCAGATATTCAATTTGGTCCACAACAACAGTTTAACTGTCTAATTGTGTCCTTTACAGCTTGTTTCACTTCCCTGATTTTCCAGTAGTAAAGAAAGGGGTTCAGAGATGAGTTTAAGTGAAATAAGGAACGAAGAAAGAAAAAAACTGGACCTTCCCAAAACTCTCCAAAATACATCGAAGTCAAATGCACACCAAACGGCAAATAGCACACAAATGATCCAAGCTGTACCCATGCTATAGCAGAAACTGTTTTCTTGTATCGTACTACATTCAATTGAGTCGGTAAAACACCGTTGGGAGACAGTTGTTGGTGGTGAACATGGCCCTGTACATGAAGCAGTTGAGGCGGAGACGGAAAAAGATATTGGCGTAAACAGTGACCGAGATAATAAGAGAAATAAGAATCAAAACAGCCTGTGCAAAAAAAAAAAACAAATAAAATGAGGCCGAATCCAACTAAAGCACCAACTAGAAGCCAAAGGAAGATAATGAGCGCTTGCACCCGCCTTAATGTAACAACCCGTTTGTATCTCAGACCCATCAACAGCGCGAGAAGTCTGTCCACACTTATTGCTGTTGATGTCAAGACGGAGACTCCACAAAGAAAAAAACTAGATACTTCTCGTATAAAATAAGTGATTTCAAAGAGTTTTTCGCTGAAGTACATTATTTCTTCGCGAAGAAGCGTCACTGTAAACAGTGGTTGTGTCAATTTGTATGGCGCCTGTAGGTGCTCTTATGGGCTAAGCGTAATTGCAAATGGCTCTACATAACATCTGCTATTAGTCAAAATTTTGAATGGTTGCTTAGTTTATTTTTGAGATAACAAATAAATTTTTTTGGCAATTAATGCGACTCATTAGTAAGTTTAACTGATGAAACTTCTTCACCTGGTGAACATTTGGAAAATAAAACTGACGCCCGGTTCGTTTTATATCTTGTAGATTCAAATTAATTTGTTCTTTATAATCGGTGCTTCTCAGTGTAAGCAATTATTTATAAAAAATATTTTATGACGGAAATAGCGTTAGAGGATAAATCGAGGTCATTTCGTGCGGAGCAAGAAGAATTAGAACGTTGCCCAAAAGAAAATAGAACTGACGCCCGCTTCATTTTATATCTTGCCAATTCAAATTAATTTGTTCTTTATAAGCAGTGCTTATCAGTGTAAGCAATTATTTATAAAAAATATTTTATGACGAAAGTGGCGAAAAAAAAAACTTTAACGATCTTTTTTACGCACTTTCAGAGAAACACTTCTTCAAGGAAGTTTAAGGAGGCTTCATAGGGTTTTTGCTCAATGTTGGCGCGCGCGCCTGCGTTATGTTTTTCTAGAAAATTTTTATGTTTTCGCTTTTCAAGGTCACTAAAAGCCATCAGAAGGCAATGAGTCAGGTTCGGACTATCGTTTACTGTAATAAATATTATCAAAATGATTTTCGTTTCGCTATAATTTGGCTTTGCCTTTGATTTTCTTCAATTTGCTTTGCTGAGATCTCTCAAAATTTCCACAGCTTTGTGAAGATTGTCCTGCTGATCATTTATAAGCCGAACAGAATAGGGGTCACAAAAGTTGTTTCCTCCCTATTTGCAATTTTGTGTTTTCTTCCTCTATCTTAAATTTGGTCTTATGATTTTTCTTCTCAACAGGCATTAGGAAGGCCACGAATGTGTTTAACGGTCCAAAAAATCTTAGGAAATTCCACCCAAGGAAGCGCGATAAATCTTATTCCAAAGATCCCTATTTTCTTCGTCCAAAATATTACGTAATGGTATAGAGCTTCGCTAAGATCAGTATCTGGGCATGCGTAGACTTTTAAATCTGTCGCCTTCTGGCAATCTTTCCTACTGTGTTTTCTTTTCCGTTGACCTCTTTTCAGGCGTAGAAGGCCTAAGAATATTACGAGTGCTTTTGCTGGAAACCCTAGATTTCATTGCATAAAGACTTTATTGTATTATACTGTTTTTAGTACACCTTTTCAGATAACAATCGTGCTATCGCATCGAGCCGCCATGTTTGTTTTGCATGTTGACACCGTTTAAAGCTCGTGCTATGTTTGCATTCAGATCTCGCGCGGTCAAAAACCCTATGGAGCCTCCTTGGGACGTGTACAGCTCCTTGTTGCACGCTGCACTCTAACCATTTCTTTTATAACATTGAGACTTTCAACATCTTTTGTTTCGTTTAGGAAATCAAACTGACGTCAGCATGCAGCCCACAGGCAAATCGATCAAGCGTATCAACCAGTCAGAGCGCACGCTTTTATAAAGCTAAGCCATCAGTCAATATCGTTCAGCGCACCAAATGGTAGTCTAAATGGACAAATATCTTAAAAACAACACTGAGTGAAGTCAGCAGCCCGTCCATCAAAATTAGTATAAATACAAGAAACATTAAGAACGTAGCGCAACCAAACGCCTACGACAGAGAACCCGGCATTTCCAAGTAAACAACTTTTTATCTTTTGGACCATTAATTTGAAATTTTCAGCATGGCTTTTTCTTTATGAGAGATGTTATCATGAGATACAAGCTCGATCTGCCTAGACATGTGTCAATCATTTCTTGTTCAAGTAGCGTGCAGCTTCTAATTGATGAGACGAAAAGATCGGTGGTGAATTTAATGGGCATCAATAATCGGACGGCCGTTTCTTTTTCTCCTAGAAACATCTTACGATGAAGAAGGGAAGTTTGGAAACTTTTAGCTAAGAAAAACGGAAAAAATCGCTGATGAAGTGTCATTATTTGTTAAATTTATTCTTTTATTGAGTTTACATAAACCTTCGCTAAACATTATTTTCATGTCACATGCTCTAAGTTTGAATATTTTTGTCAAAAGGAAGAAATCCTCCAGATCATCACAAGCGAAAGAGAAAAAAAAAACATGTCAAATAAAAATATCTATAATAAACAACCCAGTTTTCATTTACTATACCTTTCAAAAACTCATTTTATCACCTATCAAATGGTAGATAATACATCACGTGCAGTGACTTAATATCAATAAACCTCATCCTTATTAGTATGCGGTGTTTTATCAGATATAAAGACACTGCACGTGACTTATGAATATTAATTAATTATCAACACAGAAACTGACACAACAAATGGTGGAAACATATTTAATGTTCTTTCAACAAATTTCACACAGTAAATTTACTTTTGCACCAAATTAATAGTACAGTTGTGAAATACACATCTGGAAAAATTCTCTATTCCATTAGTACAGTAATCTGGCAAAGGCATATTAGACAATACATCATCTGAAACTTCGAATTCAAGATCAGTTGGCAGAAGTATGCTAATTTCTAACGTTCACAAAAGCATAATTGTTATGAACTCTCTTGACACACGCTTTTCCAAGAATGTTTTTGAAGTTGTTCAAAAACTCGCAGCACGTGTTTTATCGGGTCAAAACCACTCCTGCTCGTTTTTAAACATTACTTAAAAGGGTCCGAGGTAAAGCTGTGCATGTAGGCTTTCTTTGTATATATATTTTATAGTTCATAAAATGTTCTTCCTTCACTGCCAAATTGTTTCAGCGCTATCGAGTGATATTTATATGTGAATAAGGTTTGAACTGCCTGGTATCAATGTACTCTAATACGTTTCCAGTTGGATGAAGGTGAGTTTTCAATTGTTCTGGGAGGAAAGACGAAATATGATTAGAGTGTCATGTAGTAGACCACAACTGGTTCTCCTTTCCCAAACTCGTTGGCTTTGCAGCTTTGCTCAGTAGCCGGTGAACTACAGAGTACAGCGGTGTTCAGTATCTATACCTGTTTGAACTAAAAAACAGGTTGGTGCAGGTTCCGTTTTAGCTTTTTTGGTCCCGCCGATTGTAGGAGAACCTGTGGCTCAGTCGCACCCTATGGTGGCAGCAAATATTCCTTAACACAACATCAAAATCATTTAGGAAGATGTTGTCACCCAACGTATAGAGCCACTCTTTGTAGACCAGGGGAATAACAACTATCACCTTGATACAGAGATTCTCTCTTGATCACGTAGCAATTCAGTAGTCAGAATATAACTTGTATTTAAGTCCAGCCGTTTTTTTTCTTTCCACAGAGTTTTACATTGTTTTTCATAACACAAAGGTTCAATTTAGCTCACAGCAACAGTTTAACTGTCTAATTATGTCCTTTACTGCCTGTTTCACCTCCCTAATTTTCCAGCAGTAAAGAATGGGGTTCAGAGATGAGTTTAAGAATAGTAAACAAAGGAAAAAGTAAATTATATTATCGTCCAAAAACTCTACAAAATGGGATGAAACTAAAGTAATACAAAGAGGAGAGTAGCAAGCAAATAATCCAAGCTGTACCCATGCTATGAAGGAAACCGTTTTCTTGTATCGCGCTACATTCAATGCAGTCGGTACTACGCCATTGGGAGGAAGTTGTTGTCGTTGGTGAACATGGCCTTGTACATGAAGCAGTTGGTGACGGAGACGGAAATAGATCTTAGCGTAAGAGATGGCCGAGATAAGAAGAGAAATAAGCATCATAACAGCATATACAAAAAGTTAATTCCTGAAATGAAGATACACCCAACCGAAGCACCAATTAGAAACCAAAAGGAGATAATAAGCGCTCGTACCCGCCTTAATGTAACAAGGTATCTATACCTCAGACCCAACGACAACGCAAGAAGTCTGTCCACACTTATTACAGTTGAGGTCAAGAGGGAGACACCACAAAGAACTTGAGATGAGATCACCTGTGTTAAACCAACATAAACATATTCATTATCGTTTAAGCTGGCAAGAAGCTTCACTGTAAACAGCGGTTGTGTTACCAGTCCAACACAAAGATCGGTGACCGCCAGACATCGAAACAAAAGTTTTGTTGGAGGACAAATCGAAGTCACTTTGTTAAGAGCAAATAGGATGAGAATATTGCCCAGTATTGCGGTGATGGAGAAAAAAGTGTTCAAGGCTGCAAATGCTGCAGACTTCCCCACAAGTGACACCGGATACCTGACTTCAAATGAGGAGTTTGTATGTTCATCAGTGGTGTTCAGCATTTTTCTCAAAGTCGGCAACAGAGAGTTTGTTCTTAGAAAGGCAAATGTTGGCTACTGTAAACTGTTCCTGTTTGACTGATTTTGATGGTGTACTGTGATAGTTCGGGTGAGAGTAGTTCTGAGAAGGACTGTTGTTGGTTATAGTGGCTCAGTGATGTTTCGAGAACTGCACGTAACGGAAAGTGAAGAGTTTTCGTCAGTCGATGTCTACAAAACTAGTTTTGTGTAAACTGATTGGTCAGTTTTGCTTTGGTGTTATTAGCTGTGAGACTTCAAAATGTTTAATCGTGTTGTTCCTTTGTTGTGTAATATATCGTGAGTAGGTCGATTTGTAAGGCGCAGTTGGGTGACGTTATGGGCTAAGCACAATTACTTACGACCACACAAATTATCTTGAATTCCCCCAAAGCCTTGAATAGTTTGGTTTTGGCCTGCTCTGATGATGATGAAAATTCTCTTTCACTTTGTGATACGGGCAGTCATATTTCTTATGTCCAAAATAAATGGCCATAGAGCATTCATTTTAAAAGATCCTGTTTCTACCAGCTGAGGAATGAAGTATTTTGCAATTTAATTGGTTCCTTTGTTGTGTAAATATGTCGTGGGTAAATATGTTGCAATTTGACCTTCAAATACAGTAAAAACACCCGTTATATTTATCAGTTTTGTTAAATTTGTTCCTCTTCTAATTTTCTTCAGAATCTCTCAAATTCTCTCCTACAATCCTAGTAACATCTTGAAATGATCAAGGCAAGTTATTAATGCTTCAGCAAGAAATGGTTGAATTAAAGTTTGAGGCTGTGGTTTACTGCCACTCTGTAGTGACGGAAAATATTCCTTTAACATCAAAATGATCAATTGGGAGGATGTTGTCGCCCAACTGTAAGCCATTCTTTGTAGACTAGTGGAATAACAACCGCTACCTTGATAGAGAGATTCTTTCTCGTGGCGTTTCAATGGCCTCAATATAAAACTTGTACACTATAAAGTCATGAGTTCAGCTGTCCATCCCACAGAGTTTTGCATGTTTTTGTACAACACCTGAGTTTACTGTGGCTCACAACGGCAGTTTACTGTCTAATTGTGTCCTTTACAGCTTGTTTCGCCTCCCTTATTTTCCAGCAGTAAAGAAAGGGGTTGAGAGATTAGTTTAAGTAAATTGACGTCATGAAAACTTGGATTTGTGAAAAAGAATCCAGTATGATAGTAAGATAGAAGACAAATATTCCGAGCTGTGCTCATGCAATGGCGGAAACTGTGTTATTGTAACGTGCTATATATTTATAGTTGGCACGACGCCTTTACGAGCCGAATGTTCTTGGAAAATATTGCCTCGTACAAGCCGCATTTATTGGCGGAGACGAACTTTGACCTTCCTGTAAGAATAGGCCGCAACGAACAGAAGAACTATGGATAAACAAAACAGCTGAAATAGGGCTAAAAAGGATGATAATGATAGAGTGAAAAATAGTTAGAAAGACCGATTAATGCCAGAAGCATGTTATGACTACTCGGATCCGCCTTGATGTAACAACCTGTCTGTATCTCAGACCCAACAACAGCGCAAGAAGTCTGTCCGCACTTATTGCAGTTGATGTAATTGAGGGCTCCACATGAAGCAATAGTTGAAAACAAAAATTTTTTAAGAGGAATATTCCGTAATTTCCGTCCATTTACCCGCGCGGCAGATTACCCGCATCGGTCAATTTTTGTAATAACGAGAAGAAAATTTCAACAGATTACCCGCACTGGCAGATAACCCGCACCCCAAAAACAAAAGAAAATCGTCGACTCATACAAATTTTCCTAATTTTTTTTTGTTGACATGATGTCCTTTTACGTGCAATTAATAAATTTTCACACTTTTTGTCTTCGCTGTTTCATTGAGAATGATACCACTTATAAAAATATGTTCTCAAAAAAAATCGATATCTCGAAATCTACGAGTCGAAGAAATCGCTTGAAAGGGGAAAATACTCTTTAACTCAAGGCAGTGCTAGCTAAGAAAATTACACTGATGCGTCGAAAATTCTGTCGCGCCATCAATTAAGCAGCCCACGAATTGAATATGTCATAATATGTCAGCATCATTTTCCGTGTGAACTGCTTTGAAGCTTACGTTTTCACTATTAAACTCTTTTATTTTCATGTTCACTTCCCGTGTAAGTGAGAATTGTTTTTTGAAATTGAAAGGCAAGAAAGTAATAGTACAAACAGGATAAAAGCTTTGTTATCGAGTTTTGTATGTTTTCGATTTGCATTGGCTTTCATCGAGAGCATTAAAGTCTCTTATTATAACGAGCAATCTGCTGAAATAAATGAATTAATTCACAGGTTTTTTGAAGAGTATCTTTGGTGGATCTTATCATCTCTGTTTTTTCCTGCTTATAGTTTTAAAACTATACCGGAAGCTTTAAAAATTATCGTATTACTCGCACCTTCATAGAACCCGCACCAACAACTGTTTGTGGAGCAATTAACAGATTACCCGCAGGTAATTGGCCGGAAATAACAGTAATAACGGATTATCTCGCCTAGGTGCTCTATTCCTTCGCCAATGAGCTTCAACGAGCTTCACTGTAAACAGACGTTAGCATGTCGTCTGTTTACCACCTTTCCGTGTTTCGGTTTCACCTTACAGCCACTTTTCCGGGCACAGCCGCCTAGTAAGGGCCTGTTTACATGGAGGTGGGAGATGGTTGAACAATAAAATGCGTTTACATGCAATCTTACAACCCCGGGGTGCTGGAGTGAGGTTTCTTGAGGTTGTTGTTGCGCTTGCTGTTATAGAGTTTAAGCAGAGGCGTCCCAAGCTTACATCTCGAAAAAGACGAAAGATTAATTCTCGGACACATATGTATTTATTCATGAAAGCGTCACGCGTTGTGTTACGCGGTGTTTGGTTTCGCGAGGAACCGTTGACTTAATGCGTTATACGGAATAGTTTAAGAAACCAAATGTGGTCGATTTACAACGCTAAATATTCCGTAGTGTGAACACCTTACACTCGTTGTGCGTCCGTTGCGGTTTCTGGTGATTTCTGCCATGAGACGGCTAGGAAATGTACAAAGTTTTAAAACATACATGTTTCGCTTTTGAACTTTTTGCCATGAACACACCCCGACTAGGCAGGTTACCCCACCTTGACACGTTTACATGGCAAATTGTCACCACAGCTGACAGGGTTGGTCTGCGAAATGTTCAGAGAGTAAGGCATGTAGCATAATACTTATCCACTTATCCACTATATGAATTTAAGTATGTTCAGAAATGGCTTCTCCACGTTGGTTGAGCTCGTAATGTCAGCCAAACTCCAGGTGATCCCACGTTTAGGATGCATAAATTTGCGAATAAAAGGTCATGATGTCCATGATAAAAGGCGCACCAGAGTTGGCTTGCAATAAAAGACAGCTTTAACTTGAAACTTGAAACTGCATGGTAATTGTATCTTTTCGCTTAATGTAACTCAGGATGTATATATTACTAACACACGCCAAGATTTGCCCATCCTACACCCATGCGCAGATTGCATAAATGTGATGGAGTCTGTGAGGCAATACAGTAAAGGAAGAAGTAGTATTAGTGGTTGAAGCAATTTACATATTGAGTTAGTAGAATCTGTGTCACAATACAGTAGAGGAAGATGTAGTAGTAGTAGTTGAAGCAATTTACACGCTGATTTAGTAGAATCTGTGTCACTATAAAATAAAGGAAGTGTAACATCCCTCTGTCATTAACCAATCAAGGTAACAAGAAAAGACAGAGGGCTTCATCTTAATATGACACCAGACTCTTTAGAGAATGTTTCACAAGTAGTAATGTAAAGAGAAATTTCGGTAATGTTGTAATTTCATAAACGCAACATTTTGTAGCTTGTTTTCAATATATAATCCATTGGAAAAATAGGTAAGCATGTGGAATGATTACGAACGACAAGATTTGTTCAGAAAGAAAGTAGAAGGATTATGTATTTTTAATGCTACGTATACGTACGTTCATCGGCTTAGCAAAGCAATAAACAGTGAAACCGAGGTAAACAGTTGACGTTTTCTGTTGGCATCAAGCCTCTGTCTAAAGGGAAAAACTGAGATGACATGTTATAAAAAAATGGCTAATCATGTCTTAACAATGTTGTAATCAGTTTGTTTTCAGTTTTTTTTCTAAAGCAACATTGCAGTCCCTTATGAACAGTCTTGATTTTAACTTTCCGTGCCGGCAGTAAATCGAAAACGAGTTGGTAAACATCCATTTGTAATATGAATGATTCGTTCAATTCAACTGATAATCACGCAGTTACATTTGTAGGACGAAATTGCCAACCCGCGTAACGAAAGGTTATTCAGTTCCTGTCTTAAATCATTCTCTGATTGGCTGCCGCGTTCAGTGTCGTTGTCAGGTGCAGATATTTAAGTCAATATGTAATTGGTTTCCTAGGGTGAGAAAAGCTGTTATTGTTTACGTAGTAAAGACTGTGACTGTTATGTGGCTTCATAAATATAATCAGAGATGCATTTCGAACTCGTCCTAAAACAATGGAAACAAAAGATGTGTTGTAAATAAAATCTTTTAACCACTAAGACGTTCAAGGGCAATCACACGTTTTCTTTCATTTTTTATCTTTCACTTTTTTCTTGATGTGATGTACGCCTGTATCCATTGCAGGAAGCCAGCACTTTTCATCGAAATTTGATAAAAGTTTTTGAATTCTAGTAAATAATATGGTTCAGAATGGGTCACCTCCAACTGATTCCTCGATAGAATTCCACCTTTCGTGAACGCAAGTCTATTTAAAATATTATTTCGCGAACACAGGCCAAGTCATTAAATGAATTATTTAGATGGACCCACAGGTGTTGCTTCTTTGAAAAAGTATCCTACACTTCACACGACAGATTTAAAAATTGAAGACGCTGAAGGTGTTGTTATCTGCACTTTAGTCATGATGCTCCGGATTGCAACGTCGCTGAATCCACGACCTCAACAAATCGGTCTAGCTGTAGTGATTAGTATTTCTCTTTGCCAAAACTAAAGGTAAATTGCCTTACTTATTTACTATTTCTTAGTTCTTCCTCCCCAAAAGAAAAAAGAACTTAGCATTAAATCATGACCATGTTATGCAGGACATTAACCGAATTTTGCGTGGATCTTTTCTGGCTATCAGTATAAGTTGTCTCGTGCAGCGATATCTAACGCTGACTTTTACCATTTAATAAAGGGAAGGATATCCTATATTTACTTCTTTTGAAACGCTGATAAAATACCCCTCCAAAATCGACAGTACAGATCATTGTTTTACTCGGGAACAGGAAAAAAAGAGGTAATGGTTATTGTCTCGCAAATTTGTGGCCAAATTTCACAGGTCACGCCATCATTTTTCGGCTACGTATCTCTTTTCACTTCGAACCAGAGTCAATTCTTTCTTTCGCCGGTGAAACGAGAGTTAAAGAGCGAGATCGAGTCGAGTAATGATCTGATCTTTGTGTGCCACTTTTTAATGCTTAACATTTTTGACTGGAAGCCTAAGCGTTAGTGAAAGACTATATTGAAACTTGATATCATTCAGCGCGTTAAATGTTAGACCAAATAGACAAGTATCTTAAAACTATCACGGGAAGAAGCTAGAGTTGCTTTCGGCTTCGCCTCGAGCAACTCTTGCGCCACTCTCGTGCATGCGGCTCTCCAAATTTTCAGTATCCTTTCATAACTCGATACGCGCACGCTAATCATGAGCTAATCACCTTAGGTCCATAGATAGATCAGTTCTTGTGCCGATTCAGCAGTCTGAATAGAACTTGTATTTAAGTTCAGTTTTATTTCCACAAGGTTTTACATCGTGTTAAGTTGTGCAACGCAGATATTCAATTTGGTCCACAGCAACAGTTTAACTGTCTAATTGTGTCCTTTACTGCTTGTTTCACCTCCCTGATTTTCCAGCAGTAAAGAAAGGGGTTCAGAGATGAGTTTAAGTAAAATAAGGAACGAAGAAAGAAAAAAACTGGACCTTCCCAAAACTCTCCAAAATACATCGAAGTCAAATGCACACCAAACGGCAAATAGCACACAAATGATCCAAGCTGTACCCATGCTATAGCAGAAACTGTTTTCTTGTATCGTGCTACATTCAATTGAGTCGGTAAAACACCGTTGGGAGACAGTTGTTGGTGGTGAACATGGCCCTGTACATGAAGCAGTTGAGGCGGAGACGGAAAAAGATATTGGCGTAAACAATGACCGAGATAATAAGAGAAATAAGAATCAAAACAGCCTGTGCAAAAAACAAAACAAATAAAATGAGGCCGAATCCAACTAAGGCACCAACTAGAAGCCAAAGGAAGATAATGAGCGCTTGCACCCGCCTTAATGTAACAACCCGTTTGTATCTCAGACCCATCGACAGCGCGAGAAGTCTGTCCACACTTATTGCTGTTGATGTCAAGACGGAGACTCCACAAAGAAAAAAACTAGATACTTCTCGTATAAAATTAGTGATTTCAAAGAGTTTTTCGCTGAAGTACATTATTTCTTCGCGAAGAAGCGTCACTGTAAACAGTGGTTGTGTTATCACTCCAACAAAAAGATCGGTGACTGCCAAACATCGAAACAAAAGTTTCGTTGGAGGATAAATCGAAGTCACTTTGTGTAGAGCAAGAAGGATTAGAAAGTTGCCCAATGACGCAGTCATAGACAAAACAACGTTCAAGAATGTAAAAGCCATAGACATTCCAAATCTCCCACCTGACAGATGACCTACTTCAAATGAGAAGTTTGTATAGTCATCGGTTGTGTTGAGCATTTCTCTTACGGCAGCAGAGAATATTTTTGTCGGTAAGGGAGATGTTGACCACTGTAAATGTTCCTGCTGGTTGTAAGTCCAGTGTAGTAAGTCCAATTTGTGTAAAGTGATTGGTTTATTTTGCCTGAGAAACTCAAGTAGCGTAAGTGGGTAGTGATTGGCTAGCTGCAATCCATCGGTAAAGTTTAGTCGTGTTGATCGGTTTGTTTGTTGTGTAAATGTCGTAAATAAGTCAATTTGTATGGCGCCTGTAGGTGCTCTTATGGGCTAAGCGTAATTGCAAATGGCTCTACATAACATCTGCTATTAGTCAAAATTTTGAATGGTTGCTTAGTTTATTTTTGAGATAACAAATAAATTTTTTTGGCAATTAATGCGACTCATTAGTAAGTTTAACTGATGAAACTTCTTCACCTGGTGAACATTTGGAAAATAAAACTGACGCCCGGTTCGTTTTATATCTTGTAGATTCAAATTAATTTGTTCTTTATAATCGGTGCTTCTCAGTGTAAGCAATTGTTTATAAAAAATATTTTATGAAGGAAATAGCGTTAGAGGATAAATCGAGGTCATTTCGTGCGGAGCAAGAAGAATTAGAACGTTGCCCAAAAGAAAATAAAACTGACGCCCGCTTCATTTAATATCTTGCCAATTCAAATTAATTTGTTCTTTATAAGCAGTGCTTATCAGTGTAAGCAATTATTTATAACAAATATTTTATGACGAAAGTGGCGAAAAAAAAAAAAACTTTAACGATCTTTTTCGACACTTTCAGAGCAACACTTTTTCAAGAAAGTTTGAGGAGGCTTCACAGGGTTTTTGCTCAATGTTGGCGCGCGCGCCAACATTGAGTTTTGTTTTTCCAGAAACTTTTTCATGTTTTCGCTTTTCAAGGTCACTTAAAGCCATCAAAAAAAATAAGTCAGGTTCGGACTATCGTTTACTGTAGTAAATATTATGGAAATGGTCTTCGTTTTTAAGCTAAGGCTCCACGAAGGGAGGCGCTCGCCAGCTATAATTTGGCTTTGCCTTTGATTTTCTTCAATTTACTTCGGTGAGATCTCTCAAAAGTTTCACAGTTTTTGTGAAGATTGTCCTACCGGTCATTTATAAGCCGAACAGAGTTGGGGTCACAAAAGCAGTTTCCTCCTTATTTGCAATTTTGTGTTTTCTTTCTCTATCTCAAATTCGGTCTTATGATTTTTCTTCTCAACAGGCATTAGGAAGGCCACGAATATGTTTAACGTTCCAGCAAATCTTAAAATCGTGCTCCTGGTGAACATATGGAAATAAAACTGTTTGGAACGCCTCGTTTCATTTCTTTAGTCAATAGAAACTACTCTTTTTTGATAAGCAGTGCTAATAAATTAAGTATAAATAGTTATTCAAAAGCAATATTACAAAGGAAATGGAAAAAACCCTATTTCTCATTCTTTTCACACTTTCAGCTAGATATACAGTCTTTTTCTGTTTTGTTTTGTTTTTTTTTGCATGGAAGCTTTATTTGAAATAGCGTTTACAAGTCTACATCTATAACGCCTTTAGGCTTCTATGTCTACATCTTCTTGTCGACAATGCAAGCCATGACTTAGAAAGCTACAAAATACATGCATGCTACCTAATTCCCTTCCCTTCCCGTCAATTTACTCAGTGTAGACTATACTGAAATTCGATATCATTCAGCACAATAAATGTTAGACCAAATGGACAATTATCTTAAAATCATCACGGGAAGAAGCTACAGTTGCTTTCAAATCCCGTACAGGCATGAATTTTTTTTATTCCTCATTTTCAGTACTACCAATTGAAGTAGTGTTCATGATTGCGAAGATTGCTTTCATATTCACACTGATTCATACGATGGTCATTGAGACTATTTTAAAATTTAAACTTCTAATGGTTAGTGAATTTATTATTGAGATTAATTTATTAATATTTCGAAGTATAGCGACTACATTAGTCATGTTAACAGATGAAAGATCTCCATCTGATGGTAAACATTTAGAAAATATAATTGACGCACGCTTCATTTTACTTCTTGTCAATTCCAGTGTATGTAGCATGATACAAGAAAACAGTTTCTACTATAGCATGGGTACAGCTTGGATTATTTGCGTGCTATTTTCCCCTTGGTGTGAATTTGTATATGTCGTATAATTTTCGTATCGTATAAATTTATCGTATAATATAAGATTTCAAAGCCTTTTCGCTGAAGTACACTATTTCTTCGCGAAGAAGCGTCACTGTTAACAGCGGTTGTGTTATCAGTCCAACAAAAAAGATCGGTGACTGCCAACAGGCCAAACATCGAAACAAAAGTTTCGTTAGAGGATAAATCGAGGTCATTTCGTGCAGAGCAAGAAGAATTAGAACGTTGCCCAAAAGATAATAAACTGACGCCCGCTTCGTTTAATATCTTGCCAATTCAAATTAATTTGTTCTTTATAAGCAGTGCTTATCAGTGTAAGCAATTATTTATAAAAAATATTTTATGACGAAAGTGGCGAAAAAAAAAAACATTAACGATCTTTTTCGACACTTTCAGAGCAACACTTTTCCAAGGAAGTTTAAGGAGGCTTCATAAGGTTTTTGCTCAATGTTGGCGCGCGCGCCAGCGTAATGTTTTTCTAGAAAATTTCGATGTTTTCGCTTTTCAAGGTCACTAAAAGCCATCAAAAGGCAATGAGTCAGGTTCGGACTATCGTTTACTGTAGTAAACATTATCAAAATGATTTTCGTTTTTAAGTTGAGGCTCCACGAAGGGAGGCGCTCGCCAGCTATAATTTGGCTTTGCCTTTGATTTTCTTCAATTTGCTTCGGTGAGATCTCTCAAAATTTTCACGGTTTTGTGAAGATTTTCCTGCTGATCATTTATGAGCCGAAAAAAATAGGGGTCACAACAGTAGTTTCCTCCTTATTTGCAATTTTGTGTTTTCTTTCTCTATCTCAAATTTGGTCTTACTTTTTTTTATCAACAAGCACTAGGAAGGGCACGAATATGTTTAACGGTCCAGCAAATCTTAGGAAATTCCACCCAAGGAAGCGCGATAAATCTTATTCCAAAGATCCCTATTTTCTTCGTCCAAAATATTACGTAATGGTATAGAGCTTCGCTAAGATCAGTATCTGGGCATGCGTAGACTTTTAAATCTGTCGCCTTCTGGCAATCTTTCCTACTGTGTTTTCTTTTCCGTTGACCTCTTTTCAGGCGTAGAAGGCCTAAGAATATTATGAGTGCTTTTGCTGGAAACCCTAGATTTCATTGCATAAAGACTTAATTGTATTATACTGTTTTTAGTACACCTTTTCAGATAACAATCGTGCTATCGCATCGAGCCGCCATGTTTGTTTTGCATGTTGACACCGTTTAAAGCTCGTGCTATGTTTGCATTCAGATCTCGCGCGGTCAAAAACCCTATGGAGCCTCCTTGGGACGTGTACAGCTCCTTGTTGCACGCTGCACTCTAACCATTTCTTTTATAACATTGAGACTTTCAACATCTTTCGTTTCGTTTAGGAAAACAAACTGACGTCAGCATGCAGCCCACAGGCAAATCGATCAAGCGTATCAACCAGTCAGAGCGCGCGCTTTTATTAAGCTAAGTCATCAGTCAATATCGTTCAGCGCACCAAATGGTAGTCTAAATGGACAAATATCTTAAAAACAACACTGAGTGAAGTCAGCAGCCCGTCCATCAAAATTAGTATAAATACAAGAAACATTAAGAACGTAGCGCAGCCAAACGCCTACGACAGAGAACCCGGCATTTCCAAGTAAACAACTTTTTATCTTTTGGACCATTAATTTGAAATTTTCAGCATGGCTTTTTCTTTATGAGAGATGTTATCATGAGATACAAGCTCGATCTGCCTAGACATGTGTCAATCATTTCTTGTTCAAGTAGCGTGCAGCTTCTAATTGATGAGACGAAAAGATCGGTGGTGAATTTAATGGGCATCAATAATCGGACGGCCGTTTCTTTTTCTCCTAGAAACATCTTACGATGAAGAAGGGAAGTTAGGAAAGTTTCAGCAAAGAAAAACGGAAAAAATCGCTGATGAAGTGTCATTATTTGTTAAATTTATTCTTTTATTGACTTTACATAAACCTTCGCCAAACACTATTTTCATGTTACATGCTCCAAGTTTGAATATTTTTGTCAAGCGGAAGAAATCCTCCAGACCATCCCAGGCGAAAGAGAAAAAAAGGAACATGTCAAATAAAAATATCTATAATAAACAGCTTTGTACATTTAACAACTGTACATTTAAAAGGGTCATGTCGTAGACCACAACTGGTTCTCCTTTTCGTTGGCTTTGCAGCTTTGCTCAGTAGCCGGTGAACAGTATAGTACAGTGGTGTCCAATATCTTTAAACTTATTTGATCTAGAAAACAGGTCAGTATCTTGGTGTAGTTCCTTTTTAGCATTTTTTGTCCCGCTGATTGTAAGAGAGCCTATGGTTTAGTCCCACCCTATGGTGACAGTAAATATTCCTTTAACACAGGATGTTGTCACCCAGCGTAAAGCCACTTTTTGTGGACCACAGGAATAACAACTGCCACCTCGATACAGAGATCCGATTCAGTAGTCCGAACATAATTTGTATTTAAGTCTAGCTGTTTTTTTTTCCAAGAGTTTTACATTGTTTTGTACAACACAAAGGTTCAATTTTGTTCACAGCAACAGTTTAACTGTCTAATTGTGTCCTTTACTGCCTCTTTCACCTCCCTGATTTTCCAGCAGTAAAGAATGGGGTTCAGAGATGAGTTAATGAAAAGTAAACAAATGAGATAGTCAATCACATTAGTGTCCCAAAACTTTTCAAAATGCCACGAAACTAAATAAACACAAATAGGAGAGTAGCAAGCAAATAATCCAAGCTGTATCCATAATATGACAGAAACTGTTTTCTTGTATCGCGCTACATTTAGTGCAGACGATACAACGCCATTCGGAGGAAGTTGTTGTCGTTGGTGAACACGGCCTTGTACATGAAGCAGTTGGTGACGGAGACGGAAAAAGATATTAGCGTAAGAAATGGCCGAGATAAGAAGAGAAATAAGCATCACAACACCATATACAATAAAGAAAATGTCTAAAATGTAGATACACCCAGCTAAAGCAACAAGTAGAACCCAAAAGGAGATAATAAGCGCTCGCACCCGCCTTAATGTAACAACAATTCTGTATCTCAGACCCAACGACAACGCAAGAAGTCTGTCCACACTTATTGCAGTTGATGTCAAGAGGGAGACTCCACAAAGAACTACAGAAGAAGCCTGCTGTATGCCTACAACATATTCGTGAACGTTGCTGCTGGCAAGAAGCGTCACTATAAACAGCGGTTGCGTTATCAGTCCAACACAAAGATCGGTGACCGCCAGACATCGAAACAAAAGTTTCGTTGGAGGACGAATCGAAGTCACTTTGTTAAGAGCAATTAGGATGAGAATATTGCCAAGTATTGCGGTGATGGAGAAAAAAGTGTTCAAAGATGCAAATGCTGCAGACATCCCCACAAGTGACGCCAGATACCTGCCTTCAAATGAGGAGAAACAGAGAGTTTGTTCTCAGAAAGGCAAATGTTGGCTACTGTAAACTGTTCTTGTTTGACTGATTTTGATGGTGTAGTGTGATCGCTCAGGTGAGAGTAGTTCTGAGAAGGACTGTTGTTGGTTATAGTGGCTCAGTGATGTTTCGAGAACTGCACGTAACGGAAAGTGAAGAGTTTTCGTCAGTCGATGTCTACAAAACTAGTTTCGCGTAAACCGATTGATCAGTTTTGCTTTGGTGTTATTAGCTGTGAGACTTCAAAATGTTTAATCGTGTTGTTCCTTTGTTGTGTAAATATATCGTGAGTAGGTCCATTTGTAAGGCGCAGGTGGGTGACGTTATGGGCTAAGCACAATTACTTACGACCATACAAATTATCTTGAATTCCCCTAAAGCCTTGAATAGTTTGGTTTTGGCCTGCTCTGATGATGATGAAAATTCTCTTTCACTTTGTGATATGGGCAGTCGTATTTCTTATGTCCAAAATAAATGGCCATAGAGCATTCATTTTAAAAGATCCCATTTCCACCTGATGAGGAATGAAGTATTTTGCAATTTAATTGGTTCCTTTGTTGTGTAAAAATGACATAGGTAAATATTTTGCAATTTGACTTTCAAACATTAAAAAAAAAAATCATTCGTTATATTTATCAGGGTTTTTAAATTTGTTCCTATTCTAATTTTCCGCAGAATCTCTCTAATTCTCTCCTACAATCCTAGTAACATCTTGAAATGATCAAGGCAAGTTATTAATGCTTCAGCAAGAAATGGTTGAATTAAAGTTTGAGGCTGTGGTTTACTGCCACTCCGTAGTGACGGAGAATATTCCTTTAACATCAAAATGATCAATTGGGAGGATGTTGTCGCCCAACTATAAGCCATTCTTTGTAGACTAGTGGAATAACAACCGCCACCTTGATAGAGAGATTCTTTCTCGTGGCGTTTCAATGGCCTGAATATAAAACTTGTACACTAAAAGACACGAGTCCAGCTGTCCATCCCACACAGATTTGCATTGTTTTGTACAACACCTGGGTTTACTTTGGCTCACAATTGTTTCGCCTCCCTGATTTTCCAGCAGTAAAGAAAGAGGTTGAGAGATGAGTTTAAGTAAATTGACGTCATGAAAACTTGGATTTGTGAAAAAGAATCCAGTATGATAGTAAGATAGAAGACAAATATTCCGAGCTGTGCTCATGCAATGGCGGAAACTGTGTTATTGTAACGTGCTGTATTTAATTCAGTTGGCACGACGCCTCTACGAGCCGAATGTTCTTGGAAAATATTGCCTCGTACAAGCCGCATTTAGTGGCGGAGACGAACGTTGACCTTGCTGTAAGAATAGGCCGCAACGAACAGAAGAACTATGAATAAAAAAAACAGCTGAAATAGGGCTAAAAAGGATGATAATGATAGAGTGAAAAATAGTTAGAAAGACCGATTAATGCCAGAAGCATGTTATGACTACTCGGATCCGCCTTGATGTAACAACCTGTCTGTATCTCAGACCCAACAACAGCGCAAGAAGTCTGTCCACACTTATTGCAGTTGATGTAATTGAGGGCTCCACATGGAGCAATAGTTGAAAGCAAAAATTTTTTAAGAGGAATATTCCGTAATTTCCGTCCATTTACCCGCGCGGCAGATTACCCGCATCGGTCAATTTTTGTAATAACGAGAAGAAAATTTCAACAGATTACCCGCACTGGCAGATAACCCGCACCCAAAAACAAAAGAAAATCGTCGACTCATACAAATTTTCCTAATTTTTTTTTTTTGACATGATATCCTTTTACGTGCAATTAATAAATTTTCACACTTTTTGTCTTCGCTGTTTCATTGAGAATGATACCACTTATAAAAATATGTTCTCAAAAAAAATCGATATCTCGAAATCTACGAGTCGAAGAAATCGCTTGAAAGGGGAAAATACTCTTTAACTCAAGGCAGTGCTAGCTAAGAAAATTACACTAATGCGTCGAAAATTCTGTCGCGCCATTATTTAAGCAGCCCACGAATTGAATATGTCATAATATGTCAGCATCATTTCCCGTGTGAACTGCTTTGAAGCCAACTTTTTCACTATTAAATTCTTTTATTTTCATGTTTACTTCCCGTGTAAGTGAGAATTGTTTTTTGAAATTGAAAGGCAAGAAAGTAAGAGTATAAACAAGATAAAAGCTTTGTTATCGAGTTTTGTATGTTTTCGATTTGCATTAGCTTTCTGATGAAATCTGCTGAAAATAAATGAATTAATTCACAGGTTTTTTGAAGAGTATCTTTGGTGCATCTTATCATCTCTGCTTTTTTCCTGCTTATAGTTTTAAAACTATACCGGAAGCTTTAAAAATTATCGTGTTACTCGCACCTTCCTAGAACCCGCACCAACAACTGTTTGTGGAATAATTAACAGATTATCCGCAGGTAATTGGCCGGAAATAACGGTAATAACGGATTATCCCGCCTAGGTGCTCTATTCCTTCGCCAATGAGCTTCAATGAGCTTCACTGTAAACAGACGTTAGCATGTCGTCTGTTTACCACCTTTACGTGTTTCGGTTTCACCTTACAGCCACTTTTCCGGGCACAGCCGCCTAGTAAGGGCCTGTTTACATGGAGGTGGGAGATGGTTGAACAATAAAATGCGTTTACATGCAATCTTACAACCCCGGGGTGCTGGAGTGAGGTTTCTTGAGGTTGTTGTTGCGCTTGCAGTTATGGAGTTTGAGCAGAGGCGTCCCAAGCTTACATCTCGAAAAAGACAAAAGATTACTTCTCGGACACATATGTATTTATTCATGAAAGCGTCACGCATTGTGTTACACGGTGTTTGGTTTCGCGAGGAACCGTTGACTTAATGCGTTATACGGAATAGTTTGGGAAACCAAATATGGTCGATTTACAACGCTAAATATTCCGTAGTGTGAACACTTTACACTCGTTGTGCGTCCGTTGCGGTTTCTGGTGATTTCTGCCATGAGACGGCTAGGAAATGTACAAAGTTTTAAAACATACATGTTTCGCTTTTGAACTTTTTGCCATGAACACACCCCGACTAGGCAGGTTACCCCACCTTGACACGTTTACATGCATGGCAAATTGTCACCCCGGCTGACAGGGTTGGTCTGCGAAATGTTCAGAGAGTAAGGCATGTAGCATAATACTTATCCACTTATCCACTATATGAATTTAAGTATGTTCAGAAATGGCTTCTCCACGTTGGTTGAGCTCGTAATGTCAGCCAAACTCCAGGTGATCCCACGTTTAGGATGCATAAATTTGCGAATAAAAGGTCATGATGTCCATGATAAAAGGCGCACCAGAGTTGGCTTACAATAAAAGACAGCTTTAACTTGAAACTTGAAACTGCATGGTAATTGTATCTTTTCGCTTAATGTAACTCAGGATGTATATATTACTAACACACGCCAAGATTTGCCCATCCTACACCTATGCGCAGATTGCAAAAATGTGGTGGAGTCTGTGAGGCAATACAGTAAAGGAAGAAGTAGTATTAGTGGTTGAAGCAATTTACATATTGAGTTAGTAGAATCTGTGTCGTAATATAGTAGAGGTAGATGTAGTAGTAGTCGTTGAAGCAATTTACATGCTGATTTAGTAGAATCTGTGTCACTATAAAATAAAGGAAGTGTAACATCCCTCTGTCATTAACCAACCAAGGTCACAAGAAAAGACAGAGGGCTTCATCTTAATATGACACCAGACTCTCTTTAGAGAATGTTTCACAAGTAGTAATGTAAAGAGAAATTTCGGTAATGTTGTAATTTTATAAACGCAACATTTTGTAGCTTGTTTTCAATATATAATCCATTGGAAAAATAGGTAAGCATGTGGAATGATTACGAACGACAAGATTTGTTCAGAAAGAAAATAGAAGGATTATGTATTTTTAATGTTACGTATACGTACGTTCATCGGCTTAGCAAAGCAATAAACAGTGAAACCGAGGTAAACAGTTGACGTTTTCTGTTGGCATCAAGCCTCTGTCTAAAGGGGAAAACTGAGATGACAGGTTATAAAAAAAATGGCTAATCATGTCTTAACAATGTTGTAATCAGTTTGTTTTCAGTTTTTTTCTAAAGCAACATCGTAGTTCCTAATGAACAGTCTTGATTTGAACTTTCCGTGCGTGCAGTAAATCGAAAACGAGTTGGTAAACATCCATTTGTAATATGAATGATTCGTTCAATTCAACTGATAATCACGCAGTTACATTTGTAGGACGAAATTGCCAACCCGCGTAACGAAAGGTTATTCAGTTCCTGTCTCAAATCATTCTCTGATTGGCTGCCGCGTTCAGTGTCGTTGTCAGGTGCAGATATTTAATTCAATATGTAATTGGTTTCCAAGGGTGAGAAAAGCTGTTATTGTTTACGTAGTAAGGACTGTGACTGTTATGTGGCTTCATAAATATAATCAGAGATGCATTTCGAACTCGTCCTAAAACAATGGAAACAAAAGATGTGTTGTAAATAAAATCTTTTAACCACTAA